TTGTACATCTCTCCTTTGCACTAGTTCGGAGAGAGGAGAGGAGAGGAAAAATTCTACAGGTCACATATTACGTCCATTTGAGTTCAATTTTTCTATGGTTGGTTCTCTAAGCGTGAAAAAAATATCAAACAAATAAAACAAAAATAAAAAATTTCCGGGGGGGCGCCAGCCACTCTGGCGCACTCCCTAGCCACCTCAGCATCGCCCCGCCACGTCAGCAGGGGGACGGCGCCAGAGAGGCTGGCGCCGTCCTGTTGGACGACGGCACCGGCCACTCTGGCGCCCCAAAAAGGACCATTTTTAGGATAAGTTTTTCTAGAGGTCTATTTGAGAAAATAAGTTTTTTAAAAGGACCAAAATATGAAAAATCCAGTCGTGGTGACCATGTGACAACTATAACCACACTAATTGAAGGCATCAACGGAGGTCAATCGGTCTGACCCTGCAGCGCCGCCCGCCTAGCTAGGCCACCGTCGCTTAATTTGCATCGCATATGCTGCATTCATGAATGCGTGCGCTCGTGGCTGCGTGTACCCTTTGCCTCTCTGCCCTGCCTGGTCGTGTTCAACGCCTACGACGACGTTTAATTTGATCAACGCACGGCAGTAGAGCTAATAAATACTAGTACGTGGGTCAGTGATGTATGTGTGGTGTATAGTAGTAGGAGTGTACGGCATCATTCGCTGTATGTACCGTAGGTTTGCTAAATGGACAGGCGTGGAAGTTACTCGATCGAGATTGAATTTCAATCGTTGAAAAGTTGAAAACAACCAGTGGCAGTTTACCCTCGTATCCCTACATTTATACGAGTACAACGTGTTTACAGGGGTATTATAAGATGTTTTGATTTTGATCAAAATCAAATTTATTTAAGTTTAATTAAGTTTGATGAACATTCATGTTAGCAAGATGAAGAAAAAAAACTAGAGCTCTATTCAGTTGCACCTTTTTTTTTTACTGTAGTGCAGCCAACAGGCACAATGTCTTGTATTTGTAGTTGCCGCAGCATGATGGTTGCATATAGTAGCCGAATATACCCAGGGTGCGGGATGGTTGCTGGGGCTCAACTTCGCTCCCTCCACTACCACCGCAACATATATATTTTGTGATAAATCTAGGCCAGTTACTACATATAAGTTGTAGAGTAGTTACAATATAATTATACTTTAATTATTTTAGTTACATTTGATTTTTTTAATAAAAAATTATCGCATGTTATATAGCTACTCCCGAAAAGAAATTTAAAAGAAAACCTCAACGTTCGCTAAAGTACATGTTTTGTCTGAACCAATATTTTGGTTTCAAATTTTCACAAGCTTAGCACCCAAGATTTGAAATTTGGTTCAAAATCACTAACTTTTGGATTTACAATGGGCTCCTGTAGGGAAAAAAGAAAAGTAAATTTATTTGAATTTTAAAAAAATGCAGGGTTTTCAACATTAAACTAACTTTTTGTCGAAATTTTTATTTTTCATCCCTGGAATCTGCTTCCTGAGATGTAAAATCTCGTAGAGCCCAGCTCGTAGCTAGTTTGAGTCAGAGTCATCCGGTCAGGTGGCTACCGGCAGGACTCGATACAAATGGATACAAATTACTAAATGAAAATAAATGAGAACTAAAGCTAAGTGCCTATTCTGTCGAAGGATTATGTATAAAACTGACTTCCGGCAATTATTCGAGTGCACAAAGGAATAAATTAAGCATTAAGAAGTTAAAAGGTTAATTGATTATTTTTTTTAAGAAATCTTAGTTAAAAAAGTTTTTGCAAATATATAGATAAAGAGCTTGGGTAACATGTCCCTGACCCTGATAACTCACGCGCCTCTACAACCTTTGGCTAGATGCTCCACTGTGGTGTTGGGCTGGTGGTACAGATGTTGCTCTTGTCTAGCAGCGGTCGTCGATCGTTCACACGTAGCGATGGTTGATTCGATGCTAGACTTTTTTTTCTTTGGTTATGTGTACATATTGTTGGTGCGTGGTGGTATTGTTTTGCCTTTTGTTTTTTTTTTCTCTTGTGTTTTTTCACACCCTAACTGGATTCAACGACGCTACTCCCTTGAGCAGCTTCACCGTGCACTGTCTACCAACGACGCCGTAATGAAATGTTTTAGTACTTCTACTTGGCAACGCAACAGAACACAAATGTATACTCCCTCCGTACGTGTAAAGAAATCATTTAGGACAATATTTAAGTCAAATCTTGAGAATATAAATCATGAATACTCCCTCTGGATTGATAATATTTATCGTTTTGAACAAGGACACAGTCTCCAAAAAAACAACTTTAACTATCATTTTTCATTATAATATATATAAAAGTGTTAACAAATATATGATATTACTAAAGTACTTTTTAAGACTAATATATATATATATATATATATATATATATATATATATATATATATATATATATATATATATATATATATATGTAGTCACCATATTTGAAAGACAAATATTTTAAAAATGATTCATAATCAAATATTCTAAAGTTTGACCTTATCTTTGTCTAAAACGACAAGTATTATCAGTCCGGAGGGAGTAAATCTCAAGTTGTTGAGTTTGAAAATGTAAAAATTATATAAATAGATTTGGCTTGAAAAATACTTTCATAAAATAATGCATATATCATTTTTCAATAAATACTTTTATAGAAACAACAAATCAAAGTTGTGTTTTAGAGACTATGTCGCTGAGGGAGTATCCACATTCCACAAATGATCTTTTTTTTTTTTTTTGAGAACATACATTCCACAATGGTCGGCACGGTGAAAAGTCGTAGCCATCAGCCCGTCACCCATCAGTGCCCCATGCATCTCGCCTTTGCAACTTGGATTCCGGTGGAAGAAACACCCCCGGAACGGACAAGCGGCGACCGGGCGGGATCGTACGGCGAACCCAAACGCTCGCCGCCGCCGTGAAACATATTTGGCGGCTTCCCCGTGCGAGAGCGAGAGCGAGACCACCACCACCGCTATGGATTTGGATATTTGGATGGAGCGGCGGTGTCAACGCCTCGGGTGGCTGACCAAACCGCGTGATGAGTTTGCATCGCATATCGCAGCCACAGGACAAGAGGAAAAGGAGCGCGAGTTGCTGTGGCGGCAAGAGACTCTCCGAGTCCACCGGTTCACACGACCACGGGCGGGGGTGGGTCGGGGTCGTGGATGGATCAGTCGGCATCGGTCAAACCTGCTTCTGGTATGAGTATGATGATGACCACGGCGAGCAGCGGGGAGTTTTTTGTGGTTGGGTGTGCCATCGTCGCAGAGTTGGCACGATCTCAACATCTGCAGAGTACTTTATGGAATGTTTGTGTTTTTCACAGTTATACTGTGAGGGTGTTTTTGTTCACGAGAGCTAAAAGAGTTAGTAGTACTCTTTAAATATCGTGAAGATATATCGTTTCTTTGAATGTTTCTTTAGGTATGTTTGGGTGAGCTTTTAGCTGCTGCAGATTCTCCCAGAATCTCCAGCTCCCCCAAATAGTCCAGATTGTCAGCCAGATTCTGGGAATCTGTAGTTGTAGAATCCAAAAAATGAACTCACCAAGAAGCTGCTCCAGAATCTTAAGCTCCCAAACAGGGTCTTTGTAGTTTCGTCGAGCAGAAAATCTAGGACGCATTGATTCGCTCAGAAATGGAGTATTCATGATGTTAAGACCTCTTTGATTCAAAGGAAATTTATAGAAATTTTAGAGAATTTCATTCCTTCATGCGGTCCAATCAAACGGTCATTCCTACGTTTTTCCTATATTTTGCAATACTCTGTTTTACACTTAGGCATGGTTTATTTCGCAAATTTTTTCCCCAAAAACGTCACATCGAATCTTTGGACACATGCATGGAGCATTAAATATAGATAAAAACAAAAACTAATTGCACATTTTACAAATCGCGAGACAAATCTTAGATTAATTATGCTCAAAAGATTCGTATCGCGGTTTCCAGACGAGTTATGAAATTAGTTTTTTATTCGTGTCCGAAAACCCCTTCCAACATCCGGTCAAACATCCGATGTGACACCCAAAAAATTTCATTTCGCGAACTAAAAGGCCTTACATTCCTATCAGAATTCTATGTTTTTTCTATTACTTCGTTTTTTTCATTCATGAGATTCAAAGGGTCCTAAGGTATATTTCTGGAGTAGTGTTCTGTATTTGGGTTTTCTGGTCATCAAGATATACTGAGAACTACAGGTGTTAAATCTACGAGTGCTTTGCCCATGGAATTCAACCAACATGGATAAGGAAGCGAAGCAGAGAGCACGGTAAGACTCCTTACCTGCTCAAATTACACTCTGCTTTTTTTCTCTTCTTGTATTTTTTTTTAAAAGGAAGACAATGAAAGTGCACTCCACTGACTGACGCTCTAACGCATTATCACCAGCATACGCAATGTCAGCGTCAAATTGATATCCCATGCGACGCGACGACTCTTGGGTCAACATTCCATTTCTGACAGACAGCAATGGCGTTTTATCAGAGGCATCAAACGCTCCTGAAAATGCAGATAGTAACTGAGATGTCGTGGTCAAATTTTTGCACCAAACTGAACTTTGGTAACCACGAGACAATTAAGATATCTACAACATCACAGCTGCAAATTTTCTCTGGGTTGCAAAACCATACAGAGAAGACAACCTTAAGGTCTTCGGAGTTCGGCATTTACCAGGAGATGCTTCCAGTCTCAGCTAGAGTGAGTCCAATGCAGAAGTCTGAATCCAGAAGCCAACGAGAGGGATCGATGTCGCCATATCATTGATTACAGGATTCCAGTAGAACAACGGCACGACCAGCATTCAAAAGGCAGCTCTGAATCTGGTTGCGATGGCAACATGTCGGTGATGATGCCAATGTCCTCTGCATTGACCACCAGATGAGCCTGGAATGTCAAGTTGTAGAGGTAGAAAGACCTGTTGCTGACAATCCGAATTCAACAGCACAGCATATTGGAGAAATAGTACGGTATGTGAACAGAATTGTCCCACTAGAGTGGTCTCAAAATGGAACGAAGTGATGATTGCCCTATCAAGAAAATTGTATTGTTTGTAAGGGTACAAAATGGGGTTGCATTCTAGATGAAATCGACATCCTCCAGACGATATGAGGGTAAGAGTGTGCATGAGGAACGACAACTGATACGCGCACAGGAGAAATTCAGAGCAATAGAATTACAGGTAGCATCCTAAGTATCATGGATCAGTTTTTTTTTACAAAAAGAATCATCCTGGCACTATCAGATGAGACTAGCAGAAAAAAGACCCACAGCGAAGTAATCGCCCACTTCTTTGAAAACAGAGGTACATACATGAAAAATGGTGGAAAGCACTGATGAATGCCGTTGAAGTTCATGAAGGGCATTTGTTCCTGTCTGTGCAGATGTGACTTGAATGAATCAGTTCATCAGCTTAATGATCCATGCCACTGGCATCTATTCAGACTTCATAGAAACTGCCTAAAGAGCTTCTCTCCGAAATGGGAATGCAGGTTGGGAGACTGGAGCACTTGTTGTGATGCCTTCTGATGCGAGGTCCGAACTTCGACTTCTTTCACCCCGACTCGGGTGCTGTACCTCATCTTCCACTGTAGGAGCTTGTGCATCCGTCTTTGATATCAATTTGGAGTTTGAGACAGCCTCATTCCTACTATTTCTGTCTCCACCTCCCATTTCAATATCAATGCCATCATAATTATGTCGTTGTGAGATCTTCAAGAGATCACCACCTATGTCAAGGTCATCTTCCACTTTTGTCCGAGCACCAACCGGCTCTTCTTCTCTCTCCACAGCACGGTTAGCTGGTGGAGCTCGCGCTTCCTCTTGTATAGGTTCCCTGAACTTGTGTTTGGAAGGTGGAACCTTAGTATAGAAGACTTCTAGAAAGTTATTCATACATCCTCGATCATAGGCATTTGGTCTGCCATCTGCTCTGTACCGGAAATTTTCATATGTGGTCTGAAAAGCCAAAGCATCCGTATCAGAGATCATGCAATGTAAAAATATTTATGTTCAGGAGAAGAGGCATCTAAAAGGGGTTGTTTCAAATGCTTGGAATGCTTGCCCTTTGAATCGCAGGGTAGAAAAAACGGAGGAATAGGAAAAACATAGGATTCTGACAGGAATTGAAGTGTAAAACAGAGGATTGCAAAACACAGGAAAAACACAGGAATGGTCGTTTGATTGGAGCGCAGGAAAAACGCAGGAATCGGATGAGAGAGATAGACTCAAAGGAAATTTTCCAAGAGGTTGGAGCTCTTGCTAAATTTCCTCCAAAATCTACATGCAATGTGTCATTCCATAGGAATTTCATAGGATTTGGAAAGCTTCAATCCTTTGAATCAAAGGGCCAAATAGGAAAATTTCCTATAGGATTTGAATCCTATGAAATTCCTACATAAATCCTTTGATTCAAAGGGGCCCTAAGTATTATTTAGGAACTACTCCCTTCTTCCACAAATATAAGCATTCCAAGCATTTAAAATTTGTCAAAAGTATAAGGATTCCTAGAGTACTATTTTCCCCATCAATCACCTCTCATTCATTTTTTTTCCCATCTTACCCCCAACCATCCCTCATTTAATGAGGGGCACCAAAGTCATTTTTTCTTCTCCTTGTCTCTCCAAAAATGTTTATGAATGCTTGTATTTAAGGATGGAGTCCTGAGGCTGTTTGGATGGATTACTCACTTTACCAAACTTCTATGCCACAAGTGTGGTATGCCATAGTTTTTGTGGCACCAAAAAAGAAAGCCACACTTGTGGCAAATTTTTGTTAACAAGTGAGTGTATGACATGTGGGCCATGAGAGTAGAAAAGTGTGGCATGCCAAATCTTTGGCTTCAACCAAACATTTACACCCAAAAGTCAAACTTGCCTAACTATAGTGTGGCAATGTTTGGGAAGCAACCAAACAGCCCCTTGGAATTAGCTGCCTTTAGATCTACTTAGATAATCCAACGTTGTTTATATCTGTACATACAGTCCAGTAAATGCAGAAGCATAAATAAGCATTTTAAGGAATCCAATTTCTGCTCTAATCCCAACCCCTGAATCCTGATTAAAGGCCCATTTATGAGGCCCAATTTCTGGGGATTGGGCAGTGGGCCAAGATCCTGGCTTGGATTGGACCTCCAAAAAGGACCTAAATATGTATCATCAGCTTCCTCGATAGTTGTTTTCAAGATTTAAAATGTGTGCTTGAGACAAGGAAGCACGAAAAAAAGAGTTCCTGTAAGTGTAATACCTAAAGCCCTGAACTGAACTCATCGAATCAAAGGGTTTGTGCTTTCCCATGAGCAAAAGAATAGAAGCTGGCACCCTTAGTCCCTTACCCTCACAAATGCACACACACACTGACACCACAGTACTAAATTAAGAAGAGGAATCCCAGATTCAGACAAAAATAGTAATGGAGAAACTGAAAACGCCCTCTTTCCCAACCAATTAATCAAATAAATATTTTTTTTTCAAAATCTCTCATTATAAGCACTAAGCATAATATGACTAGATGATGTTGCGATGGTAGAAACAAACAGGCAAAAACATAAATCTTTGATCAGGAGCACAGGCAAATCAACTAGCAAAAAGAAAGATAAACTTCACATAAACAGGCTGACCTGGTTTGTGCTGATGAGATATGTATGAAATCCTGTGAGTCCACCAACAAACCAAAGACAGATGAAACAATATATTAGTAATGCAAGAGAAGCAGGGGAGTGTTTCAAAGCCTTCCACACTGTGGGATAGTCTCCATCCATGAGAATCTTTATGTACAATGCTGACATAGCAAATACATAAATGCATAGGATACTCGCCGAAGAAACAAATAGGAAAAAGTATCGGTAATTGCGCTGCACAATGGAAAAGTAGAAGGAAATTAAGATAAGCAACTAAAAAATGGAGCAACTCAATCAAAACATTTTTGACATTGGATGCTATCAATTGTAGATATGCCTATGAGAAACTCATATTTACACTATGGATGAATAATTTTCTTATAAATATCAAATTAACCAAAAAGGTTAAAACCAGGTAGCTCGTATGAATATATAGGAGCATTTTTAGTAAATATGAAACTGACAGTTTGCCTTTGCAATCACATTGTCTATAACATGAATATTGAGGGGTGTCAAGTCACCAACTACTGACTGGGAAGTGAATCAGTACAATTCCAGTGAATGCTACATGTACATTAGGTAGTGATTGCCTGTAACATTATGTTGAGCAACTCTGCTCTTAGATGACATTGCTGTCCAGCAATCAATAACCGTAGAAAGTTTACTTTGTTAAAAATAAGTTGATTAAAAGCAAGGAGATAATATCAGGGAAATCATGTAGACAAGCGGTATAAGTTTATTGCGGACAACTAAATACTCTGCCTTTAGATTTTAATCAAGCAGTTGCTGAATTTGCTGTAGTGTAAGAGTAATCATCTCACTACTTAATATTACTAGCTTATAACACACAAAAAAAAGTTACCTTTCCAATGCATTGCCCTACCCAGGGGCAATGATGGTCAAACCGTTCCACGCAATTGTTGCAAATGGAACAGTGCGAACACCGAGGAGGCCGAAAAACCATGCAAGTTTCACAGTACTTGACCTTCACAGGCACCCCATTTACCATAACATCTTTTACACGAGGGAAGACTAGTCTGCCAGGTGTGTCCGCAAGAGATAAATTGTCATAGTGAAACTCTTCTTCTGGTGGATGAGATGCACGAGGTACAATACCAGGATCCTGAGCTGCGGTGATGAAAAGTAACGAAAGCACCTGCAAGAAAAAGAATGCGCATTTGTTGTGTCATTAAATCTTAAAATGCCCAGTGTGAAAGATACCTACAAGAAATAGACCAAAATACTCACATAGATTGCCAACACTATTGCTACGGCAAGAATTGCGTACCCTGCATTGTATGCAGGAAATTGATGACGAAGATTCCGTGCTACAAACGCACAGAAGACCGCAACCGGGACAAAAATCAGTGCAACAGAAAAAAGCAGGGATTTAGCATCAGGTCCAAATATTAGCCGACCACCAAAGAAGAACCTCTGCAGATTAGAAGCATCGATCAGTTCACAACAATGAATCCATTCCACCATGAAGACATACAGAGTGCCACACACTTTCAAAGATGGAGCAAATTGCAGCTGAAGTAAAAAGGCCTAAGCAATGTATGTAAGCTTAAAAAAAATGTTATTAATGTTCTGGAGCATCAATTCCATAGACCATCAATTATCTAAAAAAAGACAACACAAATCAATCCGATTCAACTGACAGTATGGTGATTGCAGACAGGGTCGGTACGAGTGATGTCCCCATCACAGCCACTCTGACATTCGCATTCAGATTTTTTCGCATCCGTTATCTCCACGCCAAAAATGAAGCATAGTATTGCATTGGAACAACATAGGGCATTCCAAACAAGTAGTGATATCATAGTATACATTGCTTCTTAAAACTAGGCACTACTGAACTAATTAAACGAATCGACAAGTTCAAACAGCTAGGGCAACTCGATTCCACAAAGCCTACAAACTTGGCAGTAATCTGTGTTTGCTAGACTATATGTTATGATTAATGAAACAAATAGTATCACAACACACCTGAAAAGAAAAGGTATCACAGCGAGGCGCATGTGGCCGGAGGTGCTCATAGGGGTAGGGTGTGCGTGTGTGCGTTCATAGGGGTGAGTGTGCGTAAGTTGTGAGCGCATGCGTTTATACTGTGTTTCTCAAAAAAAAAAAAAAAGGGAAATCCCCGCAAGAGAAAAAAAATAAATGTTGATACAAAATGTAAAATTGGTAAGCTGAAGAAACAGCAAAACCTCACGAACGCTTCGAAATTCGAATCCTATAACGGAGCACAAACCTTCGAATCCTAGAACAGAGCACAAACCGATCCCCCTCCTAACCTAACAATAAAGAAAACTAGTATACAAACAACAATTTAAGAGGTAAAAATCCTAAAATCCTCCCAAGACCCTAAACGAGAACACCGATACGATCCCTAGAAACTGTAAAACCAACTCAATACCAGAAAGGGGAAGCGGAAACGAGACGAGTATACACGAGAGGAAGAACAATTCTCACATTATTCCCCTTCCAGGCTTCGTAGACGCGCTGCCGCTGCGACTGCGGCTGCGGCTGCGCCATGGGCAGCGGACTCCAGGCCCTCCCGAGGCTCTCCTCCAATCAACAACCCATCGAATCCGCGCGAGCCGGCGAGGAAGAAATCGATGCTCGCACGCAAGAAACTGAAGTGCACGAAATCGACGCGAAGAAGAGAGAGAGAGAAGGCAAGCAGCCGAGAGAGGAATCGATGGTGAATGAAAGCGGCTACTGTGAGCGAGAGTAGGGTACAAAAGAGGACTTTTTTTATTGTTCGTGGGAAGTATGGAGACTGGGGAGACCGGAAGTCCAGAACGCCCAAAATTCTCTCATTTTTTTATTTGTTTTTTAAGGAAGAACGCTGAAAATTATTAGAGCCTGTTTGGTATAGCTTCAACTCCTAAATTTAACTCCAAGATTTGAGTCTGGAGTGGAGTTGTGGAGCTGCCTAAACTCAGCTCCACAACTCTAGTTCATTTTGTGAGAGAGCTCCACCCAGCTCCACTCCCAGTTTTGGTGGAGCCGAAACTGTTTGGCTGAGCTCCAGCTCCAGAAGGGGTGAAGCTGGAGCTGGAGCTGTGCCAAACAGGCCCTTACTCTAGGCTGGAATGGTAGATGAGCCGGAAGAGGAGGGATATTTGTAAAAGGGACCCTGAGTTATAAAGTTACTATGTATCAGTACCTATGTAAACCGAGTAATCCGGTAGTATTTGCGTGTGTAAAACTGTAAATTGGGTAATTCTCCTCTAGTGTGAAAACTAGTCGGATTTCATATGTAATTTTGCACGGAGCTAGATTATCCAAAAGTCAAATTATATTTGATGTTTTGTTTCTAATTTTCTGTGAATACAAGTATGTTTTGTATATTAGTTGATATATAGTATAAATTTATAATCTGGATCTGACGAGCCACTATGAACATGGTTCTTTTTGTTCCTTTCAATTATTTATAGGTTCTTAGTATAATTGGTGCCTCATTTTAGCTTTTTTTAAAAAGTCTTTTGTCGATTACCTCATTATTTACATTCATATTGCACATATCCCATGCAGCTGTGGTCATGTCACACATAAGTACTCTTATTGTCGCTTGTGCTACAACCAAACTTTAGATGGTATTAGAGTGCACCACAAACTTTTGGTGGTATACAGCTAAAGTCGTGAAATTTCTATGACATGGAACCACTTTTTCCCAACTTTGAGTTTGTCGATTATCTTCAACTCTCGAATACTCTTATTGTCGCTTGTGCTACAACCAAACTTTACATGGTATTAGAGTGCATCACAAACTTTTTGGTGGTATACGGCTAAAGTCGTGAAATTTCTATGACATGGAACCACTTTTTTCCAGCTTTGAGTTTGTCGATTATCTTCAACTCTCTAAGCCGTTCATATTTCATCATTACACATCAATAAAGATAATTTTCAATGACGTGGTATCACCTATTGAACAAATCAAAATAAAGGATGAGTATAAGCGGAAAAGAAGGTGAAGAAGGCATGTGAATTTTTATATATTTTTTTCTTTTTTAATTGTTTATTATTATTTTTATGATGACATTATTACCCTTTATCCACGTAGGCTCCATATAAATGCCATGCCATAAAAAACAACTCCAGTTTTAACCAAGAGATGAAATACAAATCATTTTGATAGTCGAGGAGCTAAAAGTGAACGGTTTTTATAGCTTGAGGACCAAAGTCGAACCAGGACCTTAGTTGAGGGACTGAAGTTATATCTGTAACTGTGCGGCCGCTCACCGCTGCACCCGGTCTACTTGACTTGACGTTAACAACGGAGCAGGATGACCCACGGTGAAAAGTCGAAGGGAAGGCCTCGTAGGTCGCTTAGATCGGGCCCGGCCAGCGAAGATTTCCCAGCGAGAACTGAAAAGCGTGAAGCGGCAATCGGCAACGAAAGCGACGAGCCTAGCGCCTCTAGTAGTAGAAGAAGTAACAAAGCTTCCTTTACCGTGTGATGCTTTGATTCGATCATTCGATTAGGTATAGGTTAGGTGCATTAAGCTCCTAGCAGAAGCAAATTTTACCTCGGATCCCCTCACATTCAGACAATCAGATCCCTACTTTTGGGAGCAGGGAAGTGTGGGATGTTCAGCTGTTACTCCGTAGTAGATTATTAGAGAAAATAATCAAAATGTAATGTTCAGTCCTCAGGAGCACCTGAATGATAGCTGGTAAAAGCACGCAAAGAGAATAGTGCATATGATCCGTGCTACTACTATCTTGCTAGTTGCTGCGCCATTTATATATAGTTTGACTTGCAGACGATTTAAATTGGCAGACTGAAACTTAAAGAATGGTCCTGGGTTACTGTATTTTGCAGGAGATGACCCAAGAAGAGACGTACGGTATGTCTGTGGTCCAAATAGAAACGCAAAACCAATTTTAATGTGTTCCCTATAGTAAGAATGGTTAAATTGTGCAACAATTTATGTACATACTCCCTCTAGTTTTCAATTTAATTGACGTTTTGGACAATGACACGGTCTACAAGATATATCTTTAACCTTATTTTTCTATTATAATATATACAATAAATAAATGCACGTTTACTTTTATTATAGTGCTTTGAAAGACAAATTTATATATGTTGTTCTAGTTTCTTTAAACTAAATATTTTTAAAGTTTTCGATGGTCAAAGTAATAAAAGTTTGACCTTAACCTTTATTCAAAACGTCAATTAATATAGAACTGGAGAGAGCAGTTTTTTTTTCTTTTACCAACATCAGCCATGCAGGCTATTTGCGCAGTTGTTCATGGGCGTTATTATTTTTCCATAGGTAGCCGCCCGGGGTAACAGAACACATTTAAGAGTTCCAGTACGCTAGACTAGTAGAGCTGTCTTGCATGTTTGAACTGTAAAACAGTTTTCCTGAAAAACGATATGCAGAAGAAAATTGTTGCATCTATATCATGGTTTGACATTATAGAACAGCAGAAGAAAAATGACGGTTCCATGTCCTAAGCTTATCAGTATAAGCTAATTTAACTGTTTCTTGTTTGACTCACCAGATATGATCAACGCAAGAATATCTTATGGAAATGGTACTTGCGTAACAAGCTGGATTAGCAACGGCATCCAGAGTAAGAGGTCAATAAACTAGTGCCAAAACCTCGGTTAGGGGTAAAGAACATGCTTTATTAGAGAGAGGGCATATAAGAATAATATGATACGTAGTACGGACCTAGGCGACAGTATTCTAACTGGTGGTCCATCTTAGTACTAATCTCGCACATTCTGCTTGACCGCATATTTAACTAGCAGGTGGTGAAGTGGTAAGCCACCAAATCACCAATCAAATGTAATCAGTGAGTTGCTCACTTGCTCTACTGCAAATCTGAAACTTTCAAAAGACGCAAAGCTTAATGTATACAGAAGATTAGTGGATGAGATAAGGTTAAATATTAAAGCTTAATGTATACAGGAGATTAGTGGATAGATAAGGGTAAATATTGAAGAGGTTCGGGATACTAAGTACTAACCTTTTGCTGCTAGGGCAGCTTGGTCTTCAAGCACTAGCATGACTTTGCAGGGTTTAAGAGGTACTACCCACCATGCCAAGCTGGTTATTAACGTAAGACTAGATTTCAAGCCTTTTCAATGTAGCAGAACAAAGCTCTTAAACAGAAGTGCAAGGTTATGCACATAATTGATACAAACACCGTATTCTGTTTGATTGCAATGAATCAATTAATAGATAAAAGATGATAACGTAGATACGGGTCAGAGGATGGGTAGTAAACCTGAAGGTTCCAGGCAAACAGCATGCCTGGAACTAGAATGAAGTGTGCACTTTCCTTCTCAGTTTTATCTTTCAGAGCATTGGTGATCTGCCAGATACACTGAAACAAGAACGTATACTTGTTATGAATGTGATACTCAGGATAGCAACACTTTTACCTGACGATGATAACAGCAAGGGAAACATTTGATACTATGTTATACAAAGAATGTAGGTTAGTAGGGACAACGTACACGAAGTCAGATATCCTGGGATCTTATATTGCTACACCATATTTACAAGTTTAGCATGGTACATTCACTCACTAAAAACACTACGAAAGGTACTCATCTGGGTCTGCTCCCAAGCAACAGCTATAACATTTGAATTCAAATGAAATATACTACGAAAATTCTGTACTTTACAGGTTGAGAAACACCCTCACGGAACAGCCTACTATCTTGTAATTTGGATGTCTGCAACTCAGCATGTGATGTAGCTTCTACAACACAAGAACACAACGTTGCACGTCCTATGAGGAATTCTTAGCTCATTCACCGATATTTGAGGGTTGACGTTTACAAAGGACAAGGAATTCATCAGATTGATATTGCAAGATCCTTCAACTGAACCCAGCCAAATGCACATCTGTCTCGGATTTTCTGAACCTCCATTAATGCCAAGTTAATAGTTTGGCTTAATGCCGCAAATTCTTTCTCAAAAGGAAGCCGCGCCTTCTGGTCCAACTACATCCAGAAGGATAATCTTTACATCAGCTTGGATTAGACAAGAAAAAAGAGAAGAAAATTATTAGGCTGGGGTTAACATTTAACCTTCTCAAGACATCGAGTTGCATCAACTACATAGCAAAAGTATGACAATTGCCTGTATAGATCTGCCTCCGTATACTGTTATAACACAGATTTAGTTAGTCACACAAAGCACAAATGAACCCACTGTAAACTTAAGTCTTTATTAACAAACCTGTCTCACTAGGTGGCCATTGCAGCGTGGGTAGTTGGGGCAGATGGTTCCTCTCTCAGAGTCCCCCATCACTCTAAGGTTCACACTGTGCGTTGAGTATTTGCAACCCTCATCATCACACTGGTCCAAATAAAATCAACAGGTCAAGGACAGTGATGAACATGTTTTCTCCATAAAAGAAAATGGCACTATTTCTAGCACAGTAACTTGTCCCAAAATAGGCAGGAACTAAACACCTCAGAATTGTCAACACTAAAATTGGAAGTGTAATTACCATCAGTAAACCTTTATAATATAGATTGATGAAACTATCAGCCTGCCTTTTCATCTGCACATAGAGAAAATATAGTTCAGTTTTACAAGCAATCTGAATGCTCGATCATCTTACATTAATTGTTATTCACCTGGTTTGCAAGTACTGCAGGAGAAACTCTGGACTCATCAGTGTCATCTGGACATCTTGGGCACCGCATCCGACGCCAAAAATTAATGGAAGCATCATTTCCTTCATTTGGATTTGATACATTTCCAGAGCTAGAACCAATAATCAGACTAGACACAGGGGGGCAGTCAAAGGTAGTAGAACAGCTTGGGCATGATAATCGCAGGGGCTCACAACCACGATATCTGCAAATATTATTCAAGTCATTCTAACTAAAGTAACAGATCACAGTAATAAAAGCAAAATGCATACACTGTAATTTACCTCTCATCTTCATCATCAATTACAGACAAGAGCATGCTAGACGTATCTTGATTATCAGACTCAGTCAATCTTGATTGGAACTGATTCCATGAATTAAAAGGATCAAAAAACATCATAGCAGAAAATAGATCAATCATATAAAGATGAAAATAGATGAAGAATTTTTCACCTTGGATGAATCAAGCCCAAGGCATTCAGCCAGGCGAGCTGGGCTGGTGCCCTGGATCGAAGCACACAGACGGGAAACTACAGGATGAATCTGTAAACGGAATCCAGAATAAGAGAATATAGACATAGCATAACGAAATAAGCTTATATTTCTTTTTCTATGCAAAGGGAACCTGCTGCGATAAATAGTAGTCAATATCAATCATCCATTTGTCAGGGTTTCTTTTCAGCTCCTCTGGATGTCTAGCTCTTTGAGCTATTCCTCCTGAATGTGTACTCTCTGAATCCTGCTCACAATGGTCAGATGCAGCTCTAGGTTAGATAAAGTATGCTTCAAGCATAGCTTGAGATAAGTATTAATTGGCGACACTTTTTTTAGTGAATTATCATTTCAGGCAAACAAAAAAGGTTTTCAAAACTACCAATTAGTGTCAAAGTTATACAAGTTGGCGCTAACAACTTAACAAGGAGTATGAGGGCCCATGAATAAACCAATGGACCAGCAATGCATTTAATACCTGTTGAGAGCAAATTATATAGGGAACTGTATCACCTGCAGAGCACCCAGAATAACCATTTTGCTTCAGTCTTAAAGCAACCTGAGGAATCCAAGATAACAAAAGGTCATACAGCGTTCAGCTCACCAGATTTTCAGCTGTTACCCTCCTAAGTACTAGAGGAAAAAATGATATGTAAGTCTTGCCTGAACATGAGGTTGGTTTTTAGCATCTGGATAATCTTCTGGTGCTTTTGTTAAGCTCTTTGTAATGATATATTTTTCTAATTCTGTTTGGCCACCTCTCATCTGCTCTTGCACCTGCAATAAATAGCCAATGTTAGGTCAGCAATGAATTTATCATAGGGATGCCACCAATTCCTCTTTCAGTTGAAAGGTTACTGCAGAGTGCATGTAGCTTCCCAATTCAAAGCTCCCAAGATAAATGGAATGAGAAACTTAAAGAATTTTTTCTTATATATAAGAAAAAAAAGGTAGGTTCCTAACCTGCACGAGAGAACTATGGATTGACTCGATAACGTCATCACATGACCTGTTGAGAAACAATATCAACATGTATAAGGGGGGAAGAACATTTTGAGCAAAATAAAAATAGCAACTTCGATCCTTACCCTCCAGACAAAATTTGATTCAGGCAAAAATCTCCAATTTCTTTTGACAGCAAACTCCAGTCACGTCTGACCATATCAAGTCCCTTGCGCTCAATGTTCTGCATCAAGCATTCTTTAATTATCCCAGTTTTAGAAGATAAAATATAATTTTGGAAATCAGAACAACCACAGACCTCTCGTAAGCTACCATCTAATGCAACTTTAATGGCAGCATATTTCTTCTTTTTGAGAAGCAGCATTCTTTTGTATATACCATCAAGATCAATCTCCAGACAGCGGTATTTTTTATTCACCTGCATCAAAGCACTTATGTTAACTGGTCTTTCTCCACTGTGCATAGAATCCCTCTGTCCACAAATAAAAGCATTTCTAGGTTTTGTTTTTAGCAGAAATTAAGGTTAAGAAAAAAAGACTTTGGTTCCCCTTATTAAAAAGGGGGTGGGTGGGGGTGGGAGGGTGATTTGGGGTAAGATAGGAAGAAAACTGAATGAGGTGATTGACGGAACTAGTAATCTAGGAATCTTTATATTGTGGACAAATTTCAAACGCTTTGAATTCTTATATTTGTGGACAGAGGGAGTAGTTTAGAAGATAAAAACTGATCTTTCAGAATTGACAAAATCAAGATTTGTCCCTGCAGTTTAAAGATCCTACCTCCTGAATGACTTTTCCTGCAATTCCTTTTGCCCTGGAGATGTCATCCAGACCAGTATGTATCATTATAGAGTCTGTGTCACCGTAGATAACCTGCTCAGTAAAATGATAAGAAATATAGATAATGGTCATTTGCTAATAAACAAAACTGACTGTCAGACACTTGTTTTTAATAAACGATGCTGCTAAATGTTTCATGGGCTAAGATTATCAGAAGGCATAGCTGCTACCTTTGATTACAGATAGGCATGTAAATGATTTCAGAAGAAATAGAACATTCAGGAATATATACTTCATGTAACTTTAGTTCAGCCAAGTATACGCAATAGCAGGCTTGAATATGCACATGGAGAGAGGATTGTGTTGCAATTTGTGTGAAATATATCAGGTCCAAAAATGTATTGAAAAGTTACTGACTATAGAAGAAGAAAGATGAAAATGCCCAAAAGCTTATGATGCAGTTTGTTCTCAATAGACAAAGATGCTTTCAGAAAATATAAACTAGACATTTTATTTCAAAATTATATAAATTGTGCATGCCGAATTGTTTTTTGATGGATGCTCAAGGGACAATTTGTTTGTAAATTTGTTATTGAGAAATTTCCACATGTATATATAGTCCACATTTCCTTATATGGTAAAAGATAATATATGTGCGTTAGATTTCACTCTGGTATTAACATGGCTGCATGTCCCCTTAAAAAGTCATGTAGGTATTTTAGAAGCTTGCTTATCAGAGAAAATTATAGAATTAAATTAGCAGCTCTCCGTACCTCCAAATTTAAGTTATTCTGAACCAGATCAACAGTGTTTTGCAATATCTCTCTTCCCTGAAAGAGACATCATAGCACATATTAATCGCAACCAGCATACTTGTACAACATTTTTCTTTTTCTTTTTTCTTTTCGAATTTACTTCTGAGGAAGAGTAAAGATGTTCTCACTTGCAGTGTAATAAGCTCAGCAAGTGGCTTTGCATAAAACCTGGAATTGGAAAAGCCCAAGCAGCCATACATGCTGAACCATGAGAGTTAAAGGGTAGGTTAGCCTCACCAATTATTCTGGACAAATCCAAGTATAATAGCTAATGTTTGTCATAAATTTTCATTTACCTATTTGCGGTAAGCTTCAAAGCTTGCTGTTGGATGTCAAACTGCTGCCTTTTGAGACCAGAAGCAGTCTTAAGCCATGATTTAACCATTCTTCTCCTCTCCACCAAACTCTTTAGCAACTGGGTAATTAGCCATGATTGCAAACACATGTATCAGCAAATAGAAAAAATCATGCCCATATGAAAAATACATTTTGTACATAGATGATATGTGAATCATAAGAAAAAGTAAGACGTGCAAAACTGCATTACATAACTAAATGAAATATGATAAAAAGATAGACATGACATGGAGACAAGGTTAGCATGGAACTGCTTTAGCTTATGCTAAAGCCAACAGTAATTAGGGTGAGGTTTTATACTAGTTGGCTTTTAGATTGGACGCTGTCTTAAATTGCATCTTCTTTGTGCCCATGAAGAAACAAGTGTATTTCATGGCAATTGGCAAATCTAACAGATGAAGTGACTGAGCTGGCCTTTGGGTGTTCAACTGTATTGAAATTGCTACTGTACTAGTCGCGACAAAATGGACATCTGCATTGACAGAAGAGAGTCTATCAAAAGATCCCTTTATCATTAGGATACCAATGAAATGAAGAGGTTTCCTGTTGACCTTTATCATTAGAAACCCTCTCATTAGCAGGCCCACACTGATCATGTCTCCACAGTCTAGCCCAAAACCAAGGTTTCTCATAGCAGTCAAAAATCCATGCAAAACCAAATTATTAAAACTCTAGTTCAGCATAGTCACAGTTCACAAACTAGTTTTTAAGGACACTTGCCATTAATAATTGGTAACAAAGTAGAGTATCTCTACCTTTTCCACATAAAAAAGGAAAAAAGAAAAGTTTCATTTAAGGGTGACATACTTAGTTAACCCACAAAGAAGCTAGAATCGCATTAAACATGATTATGAAATTCCAAACTCCTAACCAAAAGTATAACATAACATGGTCAAGCAGAAACACAACACAAAAACCAACTCAACACGGACTTTTGGAAGGTAAATTTCTTTGTGATACACTCCATAGCAATTTTGCTGTTACTCATAGGGGCCTCGCTTATGGCATATTACCCTACTCCAACACAAAATCATGCAAAACATCTCCAAGTAAATAAAAACTCTCAAGCAGAATTGAACATCAGTAAGAAATTACCTCAGGCAAAACACCAGTGGTCTTTGAAGCGGGCAAATTAGGGACATTGCCATCAGCAGAACGGTCAACAGTAGTAAAGCAGATATTGTATTCCTTTGAAGATAAAGCCAACAATCAATAGAGCAGCATATTCATTCTTCATTTGTTTAATAATTTAATTATATGGAGACCAAGTCAAAAGTTATAGAAGCTGTAACTGTAAAAGTTGATTGTTCACCTGAATTATCGAAGGGTAAAGGCTGTTAAAGTCCAGAAGTAGCACATACTTGTCATATAGACCCTTTTTAGGCTCCAAAACCAAGCCACCAGCATATGAAGGACCTTTTTTCGTTTTACCTTGATCAACATGATGTCCCTCGTCATCAATTGAAGGATCAGCTTCATCAGGTCTTGCAGCCTCGGTATCAGGGTTCATTTTTCGTTTTGTAGAGTTAAACTCTTTACTGCGTGCAAACTTGTCCGGTACAATAAATTTTCTTGCATGGAATGCATGCAACAGCAGATACTCTACCCTTTGAGCTCTAGAACCCTACAAGCAATTTATGAGAGTGTCAAGACAACTTCCATTTTATACACGTAAGCTAACGATAATGATGGTCTACCTGGAGAGTTTTTCCCCACAGGTTACCGCTGATATTTGTCAATTGGCGTGTAAGCGGGAGAACACTCAAATGAAACATGAGCTCCAAAGCAAGACATGCATCAGTCTCGCCATATTCAACCTAGATGAGCAGGACAATTTGGCAAATAATGCTTCAGTTTGTAGTTTCTGAAGACATAAGCAATCTCATAAACAAAAGAAAGTTCCAAAAAAAACTGTACCAGCTTGAGAAGTGCTCCTGAAGATTGGAACATTGGGGGAATATCATGTGGAGAGACCTCTTTCCTCTCCTTTTTCAATTGTGTTTCTGCAAGTTGTGTCAAAGAATAACTCACCTGTGTACAAACAAATTCATTAGAGAATAAATATGGTAGTAAGAACAAACAAACAATTTAAATGCCATTTACCTCCTTCAGGAGATCGCGAGAGCATAAGTAGGTATCACAGAGGAGACGACCAGCAATGCAGGACATAATTCCTGGACTTGCCCCAGACCCATAAAGTGTGTTCCCTTTGGTGAGTCTGGGCATTACTGAGCGCCTAAGACGACCAATCTTGGACCACATATTGCTTGGTACTTTGCAAGTCTAACAACAAAAGGACAGTGTTTTCAAATGATTGAATTTAAATCGAAATAATAGTAATTAACATAGCGTAAAATGATAGAAAAACCTGTGCACGGTGCAAAAGGACGTCCAAGTCAAATCCAGAAATATTGTGTCCCACAAGTACATCGCAATCAAGTTTGCTAAGCTCGATCATCAAGCGGTTTAACAATGCACGTTCACTGATAGCAGAATCAAAAGGTTAGTGAATGCTACCACAGTTAGAGTTATTAACAGTTATAGAAAAGAAAGTTAGAAGTGTCCACCTGCTCTCGAGTGCCAGCACATTGCTACCAGCCTTCTGGTTCCTATCAGAGGATTCCTTGGAGAGGCCTATAGGAAATATACTGCCTTCAAGCTTGCGCATAACAGTAAAATGGCTGAGCATTCCCCGTTTCTGCCAATCTTCAGAACGCATTGGACTATCTATCTGAAATCGACCACCCAAAAAAGGATAAATTAGTTGGTAGGAGAAATGTTCTCCTTTTATAATATGCATATTCTATAATTGTTTTAGTGAAACCTGGAATGTGCTAGTTAGTTTTAAATATTCATCTCAGTCATGGAAAACCATTTAATCTGACAATTCATTGACAAAATTTATAAGTAAATACTATAGTAAAGTACTTCAAGTGCAAATGAAGAATATGCTTACTTTCACACGGTGACAGCATATGACTGATGCTGACACAATTTCATGCACATTGTGTTTCTCATTTATGATAGTTTTAAGATTAACTGCTGCAACCACGACAGGAGGAACTTCTAACGTGGTACTTGTCATCAAAACAGATATGTCTTTGGGACTATCAACTGTAACTTCAAATTTACACCAGCTGACCTGTGAAGAAGTCAAAAGGCATCACCATCAACATGGTGCAAAATAAAAGCAGATAGGAGCTATGAGGGCATCATAAACTAGAAACATGGCATGGAATAATAGGATATTTAGGATATACCCGCTGAGTAGCTGGACATGCCAAAAATTTGGAGATCGAAAGCCATGAAGGCCCCTTGATCTTCCTTTTGATGAGAAGCAATTCAAGAGCACTGGAAAGGTACGATGGTTAATATCAATGAAGATACTGAGCATGAAACAGCATATACACTGGTTTGTGTATGCTGTATAGCATGACCCCATGTATTTGATGGATCATTACCTATTGTTCGTCCCAAGTAATGCATGGAAATGTTGACCTCGAAGGTCTGTAGGTAGCGCCGGATCCTAAGAAAATATATGCAGTATAAGAAATAAGCAAATAGGAGTCAAAGATGCATTGCCCAATAGACATACCTTATATGGGTAATTTATCTTCAAGACATACTGCTCCCCATTTGGTAGATCAGTCCTCTCAAATGCATAGTTCCTCTATGGCATGCCAAATAGGAAAAAATAGTAAATTAGCTCAGCAAAAGAAAAAAAAAAGGAACTAAAAGATAAAAGTCACTGGATGCCTAGTATCAACTTTCCACCAACAGACCTTGACTGGAGTCATTGCAAAATTTGACACGTTGAAGTCTGACAACTTATCAGCTATTTCGCTCTTCAATCCTGATGCTAACTCCTGGCAAGAGAATTAGCATGTATAGATAAGTGGTGCATGCAAAGCATCACATTTACTTTCAAAAAAATCAATCATTCTCACATGTAGACTTGCTCGAAGTGATGGAGAAGAATCAGAAGTAGTGGAATTCTTCTCTAGCCTTGATATGGTGTCCCTTGGGAAGATTGAACTGCTTGGAATAGCATATATGCACCTTTGCATATTCTTTACAACCACACAACAACTGTGGAACCGCTTGCCTACTTCAACCTACAAAAGAAAGCAGCTTGTCGGGAGAATGGAAATAACCTCTGCAGGTAGAGCTGCAGGTGTGTCACTACTAAATTAATTACAGTTTCTGACAGAACACAGTAACTATCCAGCAGAGTTGATAACTGTTTTCATATCGCATAGTTGTAAGTAGAGCTTCTTTTAGAATGAAATTTTCTGACTAGTTTAAGAAATGCATGTGAGCCTTAAAATGTCAAAATGTATCAAGCACCATATCATTTAAGGCAAATCAATTATCCCACACTCCCACTAAGTTAAATAGTGCTTAAAGGACACAATATGATATAAACCCCATGCTTTTTTATATGAAATTGGTCATTAAGCAAAAACATTCTGCCACACAACAGTAACTAGAATCTGTGTACTTTACAAATGAACAGCTGAAATTTTCGTTACCTTTCCAAACAAATATACTGTGCCCGAATTAGCACCAAAAGGCTCCTCGTATGCATCCAATATGTAGAATGGCAGCGCTCCATCCTTCAGCTCAAATTCTGAGCTTTCATCCACGCCGGTGTTGCTGTTAGCAGCCACCGCTCCCTCACCTCCTGCATTGTCCCCATCCCCGCATATCTTCATCCACCCTGCTGTTGCACTAGCCATATCCCCATTCCGGCTGTCCTCCGTCTTAATCTTAGCATTCAGACGATGCACCTTCTCTATCTTAACCTCCCCATTAGCCTCCTGTTTCGGTTCCTCCAGGCTGTTACTATTATTCGCCAATTCAGCACTAGCACCAAGAGGTGTGTCCAATTTGGGCTCCATTTCCACGTCTGGCTTCAATTCCATATCCATATCATTTCCATGATCTGAAACCTCATGGGCCTCGAAAACATTATCCGATCTGAACGCCATTGCCGTATCGACTGCCACATTTTCAGCCTTGATGTGAGCAGTTGTTGTTGGCGCTGGCGCCGGGGCACAAACCCTACCAACGCGGCGGCGCCGCTCCTCGCGGTCATTGTCGTCGGGAGCGAACTCCGCGATGACGTCATCCACGATGCTGTCGGCCGCCAGCGACGAGTCCCTACCGCGGTCGCTGCCAGGCTTCCTAAACACGGAGGAGGTGAACATGGAAGAGAGTCGTTGCTTCCCCATCATGGCGGCGGCGGCAGAGAGGGACGCCGCGGCGGCGGACTGCTGAGGCGGGCGCTTCGACTGCGGACGCGGCTGCTTCCGCTTCCGGGGGGCGCCATCCTCGCCGTCGGAGCCCTCGTCGGAGGAGGAGTGGATGGTGCGGTGGGTCCAGTCCTCCTCCCGCCCGTCGTCGGCGTAGCCCAGGCCGTCGTCGTCGACGATGAAGGCCCCCGCGTCCTTCCGGCGGCGGGCGACGAGCGCGGCGTAGTCCTCCTCGGCGACGGTGTCGTAGATCGGGGCCTCAATCCTCACCTGGACGGCGGCGGCGGCGCGGGCGCCCCCATCGCGGATCGCGCGGAGGCGCTCGAGCGCCGCGGACCGCGCCACCGCCTCGGAGCCCCGGGCGCGCGAGCGGCGGCCGGAGGCGCCCGCATCCGCGGATCCCTCATCCATGGCTTCGCCTCTCGCTCTCCCTCCCCTTCCCTAACACACGCAGTGACACAAGGCAATGTCCCGATGCTTTCTCTTGCGGCGGAAAGGGGGAGATCTATTCTGGATTTGTGTACTGGTTGGATTGGGCGGGAAGGTGTTCGAGGGCTTGTGGCTTTTGGCGCGCAGAATTTGGGGAAATGGAGGTCTAGGGTTTCGCCTGGACCCGTTTAGTGAGCTAGCGGGTGGCGCAGGTGAGAACGAAGGACCCGGTAAGAGATTGGGCTGAGGAGTACGTGGGCATGACGTTCGGCTGCTAATTTAGCCCATCAGTTGTACACGTTGGGCTATTCTGTTGAGGAATAAGTCCACTTTAAGTCCCTAATTATACTTGCATCTAATTTGTATCCCTCAAAAGTCAAAACCATTAAGGGAGTCAAAATGTACCGGTTTTAATAGTTAAGAATTCAATATATATGGTATTGCAATTGAGGGATACGAATTAAATTGCACGTATATTTGTGGGAGTCCAAATGTACTTATTCATTCCGTCATTCCGTTGATGCTTTGGTTCGCTCGAGGATAGTATTTAAATGGTCTTGGGCCAAGATTAAATGGAAAAATTAGTTTGAGCAAATTGCAATTTTCTGTTGTTGACAGACAATAGGGGCTTACATATTTTGCAATTTTCTGTTCTTGACAGACAAGAGGGCTTACATATTCTATATGATCGTTCAACAACATATTTTTTTTTCCGAAAAAACATTGGTTATATTTTCAATTTTGTTTTCTCGTTCTCTGTCGTTTGTTGATGGCTTACCTTCTATAGTTGGAAACCCTGGAATGCCACCATATTGGAAAGTCAACTTCAAATACACTTATCAAAACTTTCGTGGATATGCTGTTCATTACACAATGACTTGTGATGTTTTAATTACTATGAACGTACCGAGTCTGTACAGTGAGCACAAATAGAAAATCAAACGTGGCCTCGCTGTTTGGCCCCGGGAAAACATTCTAGCCCCCGTTTAGTTTGACATATTCGTCGCATTATCATTTGGCAATCTCCGTAGAGAATCCATATGAGAACAAAGGCTATAAATAGTGGAATCTCAAGTCTACCGCAAACACATTCTAGCTCAGCCTTTGCTGGACTTGTTCCCGCCAAAAGTCAGGATCAAGTTAAAAGAAGCTGCCTCCAATGGCCGATCGAATCACCGTTCTTGCCATTGCCCTCCTCGTTCTGATCTTGTCGCCGCAAATGGCTGTCCAGGGCAAGCCTGCAGCTGGCAACACCGCGAGCCCAAGGCCGAAGCAGCAGCAACTCGGGAACTTCTTCAAGAAGCACGGGTCGGACATCGCCGGCCTCTTCCCGAGGCATCGCAACGGCGGATCATCAGGTAGCTACAGCGGCCAGGCCGTGCCGGCCGACGGCGGCGAAAACGGCGGTGGTGGCCAGAGCCAGGACCCGGCGACCAACACCGGCATGTACGTGTTGAGCTTCAGCGTCGGCACGCCGCCACAGGTCGTCACCGGCGTGCTCGACATCACCAGCGACTTCGTGTGGATGCAGTGCTCGGCGTGCGCCACCTGCGGCGCCGACGCGCCGGCGGCGACGTCCGCGCCGCCCTTCTACGCCTTCCTGTCGTCCACGATACGCGAGGTGAGATGCGCGAACCGCGGGTGCCAGCGGCTCGTCCCGCAGACGTGCAGCGCCGACGACTCCCCCTGCGGCTACTCGTACGTGTACGGCGGCGGCGCGGCCAACACCACCGCCGGGCTCCTCGCCGTCGACGCGTTCGCGTTCGCCACGGTCCGCGCCGACGGGGTGATCTTCGGGTGCGCCGTCGCCACCGAGGGCGACATCGGCGGCGTGATCGGACTCGGCAGAGGGGAGCTCTCCCCCGTCTCGCAGCTCCAGATCGGCAGGTTCTCCTACTACCTCGCCCCCGACGACGCCGTCGACGTCGGGAGCTTCATCCTCTTCCTTGACGACGCCAAGCCGCGGACCAGCCGCGCCGTCTCCACGCCGCTCGTCGCCAGCCGTGCATCGCGCAGCCTCTACTACGTCGAGCTCGCCGGCATCCGCGTCGACGGCGAGGACCTCGCGATCCCGCGTGGGACGTTCGATCTCCAGGCGGACGGCTCCGGCGGCGTGGTCCTGAGCATCACCATTCCGGTCACCTTCCTGGACGCCGGCGCGTACAAGGTTGTGAGGCAGGCGATGGCGAGCAAGATAGAGCTGCGCGCCGCCGACGGCTCGGAGCTCGGGCTTGACCTGTGCTACACCAGCGAGTCGCTGGCCACGGCGAAGGTGCCGTCCATGGCGCTCGTCTTCGCCGGCGGCGCCGTCATGGAGCTAGAGATGGGGAACTACTTCTACATGGACTCGACCACCGGGCTGGAGTGCCTGACGATCCTGCCGTCGCCGGCCGGCGACGGGTCGCTCCTCGGCAGCCTGATCCAGGTAGGCACGCACATGATCTACGACATCAGTGGCTCTAGGCTGGTGTTCGAATCGTTGGAGCAAGCGCCGCCGCCGCCGTCGGGTTCATCCCGACAGTCGTCACGGCGGCGCTCATCGTCAGCCCCGCCGCCGCTGACCTCGCCGGCAGTGGTCGTGATCCATTTAATGTTGGTCGTGGTATACATGTTCTTGTGAACTTCTACTCGACCTTGCGGTAATATCTGGAAGGTATCCTTATTGTCATGTCGCAGACGTGCAGATTTCACCAAGGTGGTTCATTTTGACAATGTCTGTAAGTAAAATGATGTATTCTGAATTTCTGATTGTTTTTTTTTCCAAATTACTACTCCAAATCAAAGCGTATACGTGTTGTATCGTTTTAAACCGTGTTGTCACATGTGGACTGATGATTGTCTGATTCTAGTTTTTAAGTGGTTAGTATCCTTTGCTGACGCTATAATTTCTAAGTGAAATGGCATATAGCCTAGTGGTTGCAGTGACCTGAGTAGCACCTTAAGATCCTGAGTTTAAATTTCGAGCGAATTTCGGATTGGATTATTTGAGGGCTAAGTTACCTATTTGATAGGCTAAATTTCTAATCTAAAAAGTTCAAATCTACATAGGAACGAATTTCGGATTGAATTATTTGATAGTTAAGTTTCCTATTTAATAGGCTAAGTTTTTAATCTAAAAAGACTACCTACATCCGGTTGGATAAAGGCCGGGTAAAAAATACCCTTCTACAAAAGAAAAAGGCAATGTGGTGATTTCAAAAGACAGAGAGTTGAGCAATAAACCATCATCAACGACAGCACATTTTTGGAGAAAATATTACCAATTTACCATCCCGTTGAGAGATAATTGTAGAACATTACGTGCTGATAAGTGACACAGCATGCATGCGACATGGTATGTCTCTAGCAAAACTAGCACCCATAATCTTGATGAAAATGTACCCATAACCCATAACTAGTTGGCTACTACACCTGTACACCAACTTATAATTAGTTTTTCATTTTTTTTTTGCGGCGACCAACTTATAATTAGTTGACACTGGAACATGTCTGATTCCCCTTCTTCAGTCTGTTTAGCGAACTAAATCCTGTTCTGAGTTCTTTTATTAGAACGTGCTTGTCTGTACTTTGAACCCAGAACACAGACTAAATTCTGTTATGGTCTGGATTTGTGCAGCGTCTGGATTGGGCGGGAAGTTGTTCACCGTTTGGCGCTCAGAATTTGGGGAGACGGGAGGTCTAGGGATTGCTTGGGAAGGACTAAATCTCGGCCCATCATGGGCTGCTAAAATGAACCGAAACTACACAGAGATGGGCTTTGTCAAACATGGACCAAGAGATTTACGAACAGGTTCAGGAGAAATTGGCCCTTGAACTCGGCCTACTAACTTAACCGAGCACCGCGCGATCACGTTGACGCTCTGGGTCAACCTGTTAGTTTACTTTGAAATGGTCTTCGGGTCGAAATTCGAAAATCACATGGGCATTTACTTTGAACAGATTGAGTTTTTCCAAGATAATCTTATTAAATGGAACAGACTGGATCACTGAACAGAGAGGAGGGGTCACATTCTCAGCGATCATTAACCACTGGTTACATAATCAGAAATTAATATTACTTGTTTTGTTTTTTTTCTCTCTCTGTCTCTGTCCTGTTTTTGTTGTGTGATTCCCAAACCAATGACTAGAATGGTATCCATAGCATTAAATAAGTTGTCACCTATGACAAAAAATGATGTAGCAAGTGAATAAATGAGGAAAGAGAAGAAAATCATGTCTTGCATGAGACATGGTTCCTACACAACATCTAAGATATAATGTGAGATAAGTAGCATTAAATTAAAGTATGGAATAATGATGTTTGTATTGGAAGACTAGTGTCTAGTACTAATTTTTTTTTTGATGATGTGGAGTTTATGGAAACCATGTCTAGTGTTATGGGTTAGGACTGCCCTAAGGGCATTCCCAACCCAATGACTAGGATGGTGTCCATAGCATTAAATAAGTTGCCACCTATGATAAAAAATGATGTGGCAAGTGAATAAACGATGAAAGAGAAGAAAACCATGTCTTGCATGAGACATGGTTTCTACACAATATCCAAGACATCATGTGAGATAAGTAGCATTAAATTGAAGTAATGAATAGTGGTGTTTGCATTAGAAGAGTAGTGTATAGTACAAACCATGTCTAGTGTTATGGGTTGGGACTGTCCTAAGGATTGGATTCCCCGCAGGACGTTGGTTGTTTCCATTTCCGTTTTTGCTATGGCAGACGCTGTCCTTCCATCAAAAAACATGGCAATTTCGTTATTGCTGAGAGATTAACTTACCTTAATCAAAGTTGATAGTTGCTACCATTTGTCAGTCAACACTAAATACTTTATTAGAAGGTGGGCATGTACACTGTTCATTGAGTACACAAGGCTTTGAGCGTTTACCGATCTTACTATAATCCACAAAATCAAACATGACCTGGCTGTTTAACTAGAAGAGAGTATTCTAAAGATCAATTGCTGCAAAAATATGAGTGTATTAACCGCGTTTGACACGATCTTGAGTCACCATGTTACCAGCTAGCATTCCACATGGTGATCTACGTAATGAGAGAGGAATTTAAACTCTCGATATGGTGTACACTCTTATTTACATAAAACTTAAATAGTTATAAAAAAGTGAAAAAAAATAAAAAGATGTATTAACATATAATATATCACTTCACAACCATGCAAGTTAAAATTTAACCTTCATAAGTCATAATAAAAAAAATAAGTTAAATTATAGCTAGTTAATGTATATTTATAGTAAAAAAAATCGTCGAAACATGTAGAAATTAAATTTGATTTTGCATGTTTATAGAACGATCTATCACATATTATACTATTTTGTTTAATATTTTATTTTTTATAACTATTTAAGTGACATACAAATAACGAGCGGATATCCCTCAAAAGTTTACTATGGTTTCCCTCTACGTACTGCTTCTTCAGAATAAATAGCAGTGTACATTCATCATAGAACCTCAGCTCAAGCTCTCCTCGCAACAAAAACTAGCAGCAAAGATCGAGGCTGCCACCTCCAATGGCGGATCGAAGCCATGCCCATGCCCTTGCCTTCCTCGTCCTCGCCGTCCTCATGCCGCAAATGGCGTCCCCGGGCAAGCTTCCACGCTTCACCATGGGCCCGAGGACGAATAAGCAGCTCCGGGACTTCTTCAAGAACCATGGGTCGGACATGGCCGACCTCGTCCCGTCGGGCCAGGGCGGCCATGAGCAGGGTGGAGGCAGCTCCTCCAACGGGCAGAGCCAGCAGGGCGGCGGCGACAGCGGCGGCGGCGGCGGTGGCGGCAACCAGGCCCCGGCCACCAACGCCGGCATGTACGTCTTCAGCTACGGCATCGGCACGCCACCGCAGCAAGTCTCCGGCGCGCTCGACATCTCCAGCGACCTCGTGTGGACCGCGTGCGGCGCCACGGCGCCCTTCAACCCGGTGCGCTCCACCACGGTGGCCGACGTGCCATGCACGGACGACGCGTGCCAGCAGTTCGCTCCGCAGACGTGCGGCGCCGGCGCCTCCGAGTGCGCCTACACCTACATGTACGGCGGCGGCGCCGCCAACACCACCGGGCTCCTCGGCACCGAGGCGTTCACGTTCGGCGACACCCGCATCGACGGCGTGGTCTTCGGGTGCGGACTCAAGAACGTCGGCGACTTCAGCGGCGTGTCCGGCGTGATCGGCCTCGGCAGGGGCAACCTCTCCCTCGTCTCGCAGCTCCAGGTCGACCGCTTCTCCTACCACTTCGCCCCCGACGACTCCGTCGACACCCAGAGCTTCATCCTCTTCGGCGACGACGCCACGCCGCAGACCAGCCACACCCTCTCCACCCGGCTCCTCGCCAGCGACGCCAACCCGAGCCTCTACTACGTCGAGCTCGCCGGCATCCAGGTCGACGGCAAGGACCTCGCCATCCCGAGCGGGACGTTCGATCTCCGGAATAAGGACGGCTCCGGCGGCGTGTTCCTGAGCATCACCGACCTCGTCACCGTCCTGGAGGAAGCAGCGTACAAGCCTCTGAGGCAGGCGGTGGCGAGCAAGATAGGGCTGCCCGCCGTCAACGGCTCGGCGCTCGGGCTCGACCTGTGCTACACCGGCGAGTCGCTGGCCAAGGCGAAGGTGCCGTCCATGGCGCTCGTCTTCGCCGGCGGCGCCGTCATGGAGCTGGAGTTGGGGAACTACTTCTACATGGACTCGACCACCGGGCTGGCGTGCCTGACGATCCTGCCGTCGTCGGCCGGCGACGGGTCGGTCCTCGGCAGCCTGATCCAGGTAGGCACGCACATGATGTACGACATCAATGGCTCGAAGCTGGTGTTCGAGTCGTTGGCGCAGGCGGCCGCGCCGCCGCCGTCGGGGTCATCCCAACAAACTTCGTCGAAGACGAACCAACAAGCGGGCGGGCGGCGCTCGGCGTCTGCCCCGCCACCGCTGATCTCGCCGGCGGTATTCGTGATCCATTTCATGTTGGTCGTGGTATACATGTTTTTCTGAACTTATACCTGACCGTTACATACTCCCTCCGTACCACTTAGTACAGTCTTTAAGACTATTTCTTGAATTTAAAATTTTCATATACTATAATATTTTTTAACAAAATCATAAGGTGAAAATAAATTTAAATGATAATTTAATGATATTATTAGTATCAAATAAAAATTAAATTATAATAAATTATTTATTGGTCAAATATTTAAAGAGTTGAATTTTAAAATGTCTACGAGTCTTTATAACTGAGGCGGAGAGAGTATGTTATAACACCGAGGTAATCTCTGGGAAATTATATATCCTACTTTATGTTGCAGACTTGTAGATTTCACCAAGGTGATTCATTTTGTCATTGTCAAAAAAACTGATGTATTCTGATTGTTTGTTCAAAGTTCTCCAAATTAGCGTATGCGTGTTGTATATATAATTATTGAGTGATGTTACGGTACAGCGGTCGGTACCAGTACCGCCCGGTACCAATATCATGACCGTTGGATCTGGCTTGATTGATCCAACGGCTGGTAGAGTTTGGTACCGGGCGGTACCAATTCTGCCCCTAGTGCAGTACCACGCGGAGAATTGAGGTGGAAGGGCAAAAACGTAACTTCGCGTGCAAGTCCTCTTCCGATCCGCCGTATTCCTCTTCCGCGTAACCCTAAAATCCCGATCTGCCGCCGCCGTATTCCTCTTCCGCGTCGCCGCCGTGTTTCTCTTCCGCTCCAGCGCCCTCGTGTTCCTCTTCCGCCCCGTCGTCGCCGTGTCCGCCACTGCCGTGTCCTCCTTCGGCGCCGTGAGATCAGCCTACGCATCGTCGGTGGCAGCGGAGGCAGAGGCGGATGAGCCAGCGGCGGAATATGCGGTTGCAGCGGCCGAGGATCCGCTCCGGTGGCGGCACCGAAGTAGGCCGTGGCTGAGGCGCGACGAAGGAGGAGACGACGGAGGAGGAGGAGGCACACCCATTTTCTCTCCCGATCCTACCCTTCTCAGATTCAACGGTTGGATGATTTTTGGTACCGACCGGTACTAGTACCGCTCGGTACATTCCGCTGGACGGTAAAAAATCTCATAATTATTTTGTGGGGAAAGTGCATTTAAATACTTTGTAAATATGCAAGTTTAAATTCGACTTTTACAGGTTGTAATAAAAATAGTTGTGATTTTATAGTAACTAATTTCAGTTTGACTTGTTTGTTTTATTACAACATTTGAAAATCAAATTTGACTTTGTATGTTTGTGGAGTGATATGTTGTAACGTCCCGCCTTCCCCCAGGCCGGGCCCACTTACATCTGATAGCTTTCATAGGTCATAGACTGCCTTCACAGACCAACACATATCTTTTCTGCACACTTTGTCCTCACTCGTGTGCACCCGGGAAGAATTTTCCGGTCGGTCACCCATCCCAAATTACTCCAGGCCAAGCACGCTTAACCCTGGAGTTGTTTGGAGATTGGCTTCCGGAAAAGAAGTTGCAACTTGTTGATATGAGTATTCTATTAATCCTATTAAGCCCTAAGCCGGGATGTTACATATGTCTCATATTAATATATCTTTTTTTATTTTTTAAATAACTTTTTAGGTGTCATTTTACAAAACCGGCCTGAAATAACCATAGAAACCAAACGCGGAAGAAACGCCATAAAAGATCAAAACATATATAATGATTGTCGACAGGGGATACCCGTAGACTGATTAAATAGGGTATTGGGGTATATTGGTACGAGGATCTACACGATATGATATCAAGCAAAACAAGAAGACAAGGATTATACTGGTTCGAACCCCTCATAAGGTAATAGCCATAATACAATTTATATGAGATTGATATGGAAAAAATCACAGATTACAATAGAAGACCAACGATCCCAAGTTTACTGGCGAGATCATTGTCGAGATGGTTTCGACGAGATCTTCCGGCGAGTAGGCTTCACGTCCTCCGGGTTGTAGACTATGGTGGTGGTGTTGGCGCTATGATTCAATACCTTGGGACCCTCTAGGGGGTGTGTCTTTATATCGCGAATCACCTTAATTTCTATCTAAGTAGAATTTGGAGATACCGAACCCAGCACGAGTAGGACTCTGTTGTTCACTTGCCCCTGAGAATTGTTTTCATAATATCTCGTCGATTTTCTTATCATATACGGAGACGTGTCGTACATACGAAGTTATGCCGTACCCGTATATTCCATGAGTCGTAGGATAGAAGGTATGCATTATCCATAACCATGACAATGATGACATTGAGGCATGATATTTGCTAACGGAGTTTAGCCGAAACCTACATATTGGGGCCCATTGATTATGAGCGTCTCTCTCCAATCCAACATATTACAACGTATCAAAGTTATAACGATCCTCGGCTGGATATCGCCGGCAATAGAACTCGATCTTTATTTAAGAGAGAGCATAGAAGAAAGTCCGGCTCTTACTATGTTCATAAAATCTACTAAAACTCTAAACTATAAACTGTAACCGACTATGTACATATATTCGATACAAAATCTAACATGATATGTAAGAAATGAGTAGATATCCACTCAAGCGATGAAAATCCATCTCCCTATCCCGTGTCTCTTGTGGACTTATTTTGATTTTTAGAATTTGTGAAATGGAGTGAATCGCAGTCACAGGTCTACTGGCAATTACTATATTATATTTCTTTTGTTATTGTGTACAATAGATGCATGTTTGAGGTGTAGGAATTAATAGATGCGCTAAGGCCTATTCGAAGATTAATTCTTTGGAAAATCACAAAAGCCCACCTCATGGTATGGCATGCATGTGGAGTTTAGTACCACCTTGCTTATTCTAGGAGAGGGGGACCTCCTTAAAAGGGAGGATGCCCTCCTAGCCACTTGAAGCATGTGTGGTGGAGAAAAGAGGGGGAACACACACGCGCGCTCGCTCGCCTGGCAGGCGGCGTACGCTTCGAATAGTCCGCAAAATTGGCTCCTCACCACAGTTTTGTTTTGCTGCAGGAAAATTCGGATTTGTTTTGTTTTGGAAACATTCCGAAAAATCCAGTGTCCGGATAAGTTACGCGCGACTTATCCGGTTCGGTTACGTGGAGTGGAGATCGTGCGGGCGCCCTGATCAAGTGACCTATCTCTATATAAACCGAGCCGCCGCCTTCACGCAAAACACACGAAATCAATCTAGGGTTTGCCTCCTCTTCTGTGCTGCGGCGTCGCTCGTAGACTACTCCATCCCGCTCACCGGCGTGCACCTGCGATCGGGAGAGCAGGTCTCCTTAACCTCTGCCTTCGACGTCTTGCACCGGGAGAAGGCGGCAATAAGGTTTTTGGGAAGCGCTTCGCGCGACTGCTCCCTGTTCGTCCGCGACGGCTCGCCTTCCTCTCCGCTCGCGTGTTGCGCGCCTTCGTCGAAGCTCGTAACCGCGAGTAGTTCCTGTCGAGCAACCGGTTTTTCCGCCACCTCGGTACGTGTTCGACATGTTGCGCATATTTGATCTGTTCATATTTTACTGTTTAGTTTACATGTGTAGATCTAATGATGCGTTAATACTAGTATAAATCTGTAATGTCATGATTTATTTATGGAATATATTAAATTATTATATTTCTATATTCTCGAACATGAGGTGCTGTTTGGTTTGGCCAAATTTAGCCCGTATCTGATCGCAGCGTAAACAGATGAAACAAAAGTTGGTAACTGTGCAGAAGCAATACAGGTCGCTCCCATGCACCATTTTTTGTCTGTGATAACTCATAACAGTAACATGCAAAGAAGTACTCCCATCTACCAGCTGAAATCAAGAGATTAACCTTGTTGTTGCAGCCGTAAAAACACACTACTAATCTGTCTGACTCTAATACCATCCGAAGAGATCAATGTGGTAATCTGGCTAATTGGCAATTGACGGTGCAACCGAGACGAGACACATCGTTTATAAGGATTACATAGAACACGAAACTCTAATCCCAAATCAACCTAGCTTGCTTGCACTATTACTGACCAGTGGTCAGCATGGCGACCAGCGCTTCACACGCGCGTGCACCGCTTCTCCTCCTGCTGCTGATGTGTTCGTGTTTGCTTCTCTCTCCCGTGGCGGCCGACCGGGCGGCGTACATCGTCCACATGGACAAGTCCGCCATGCCGGCGCATCACTCCGACCACCGCGAGTGGTACTCCGCCACCGTGGCGACTCTGACTCCCGGTGCGCCGCGCGGCGGCCGTGGCGGGCCGCGGATCGTGTACACCTACGACGAGGCGTTGCACGGGTTCGCGGCCACGCTCTCCGCCTCCGAGCTCGGCGCGCTCCGCCTCGCACCGGGCTTCGTCTCGGCTTACCCTGATCGCCGCGCCGATGTGCTTCATGACACCACGCACTCCACGGAGTTCCTCCGTCTCAGCCCGTTCGGTGGGCTGTGGCCGGCGGCGAGGTTCGGCGAGGGCGTCATCATCGGCGTGATCGACACGGGTGTCTGGCCGGAGAGCGCGAGCTTCGACGACGGCGGCATGCCGCCCGTGCCGTCGCGGTGGCGCGGCGAGTGCGAGGCTGGACAGGACTTCACGCTCGACATGTGTAACCGGAAGCTCATCGGAGCGCGCTACTTCAACAGGGGCCTGGTCGCCGCGAACCCGACCGTCACCGTCTCCATGAACTCGACGCGCGACACGCTAGGCCACGGGACGCACACGTCGTCCACCGCCGGCGGGAGCCCCGCGCCGTGCGCGTCCTTCTTCGGCTACGGGCGCGGCACGGCGAGCGGCGTGGCGCCGCGCGCGCACGTCGCCATGTACAAGGCCATGTGGCCCGAGGGCCGGTACGCGTCCGACGTGCTGGCCGCCATGGACGCGGCCATCGCGGACGGCGTCGACGTCATCTCCATCTCGAGCGGCTTCGACGGCGTGCCGCTGTACGAAGACCCCGTGGCGATCGCCGCGTTCGCCGCCATCGAGCGCGGCATCCTCGTCTCGGCCTCAGCTGGCAACGACGGCCCGAGGCTTGGCACCCTGCACAACGGCATCCCGTGGCTTCTCACCGTCGCCGCCGGCATGGTGGACCGGCAAATGTTCGCCGGATCCATCTACCTCGGCGACGACACGCGGAGCACCATCACCGGCATCACGAGGTATCCAGAGAACGCGTGGATAAAGGACATGAACTTGGTGTACAACGACACCATATCAGCGTGCAACTCGTCGACGTCGCTGGCAACCCTAGCACAAAGCATAGTCGTGTGCTATGACACTGGGATTCTGCTCGACCAGATGCGGACGGCGGCGGAGGCCGGCGTCAGCGCGGCCATCTTCATCTCGAACACCACCTTGATAACCCAGAGCGAGATGACCTTCCCGGCCATCGTCGTCAACCCGAGCGACGCGGCGAGCCTACTGAGCTACATCAACTCCAGCGCGCGGCCGACGGCGACGATCAAGTTCCAGCAGACGATCATCGGGACGAGGCCGGCGCCGGTGGTCGCCGCGTACTCCTCTCGTGGACCGTCGCGGAGCTACGAGGGCGTGCTCAAGCCGGACATCATGGCGCCGGGGGACAGTATACTCGCGGCGTGGGCACCCGTTGCTCCGCTGGCGCAGGTAGGAAGCACCGCCCTCGGCAGCGACTTCGCCGTCGAGTCCGGGACGTCGATGGCGTGCCCGCACGCCGCCGGCGTGGCGGCATTGCTGCGGGCGGCGCACCCGGACTGGAGCCCGGCCATGATCAAGTCGGCGATGATGACCACCGCGACCGCCGTCGACAACACGTTCCGGCCGATCGGTGACGCCGGCCACGGCGACGCCGCGGCGAGCCCGCTGGCGATAGGCGCCGGGCAGGTCGACCCGAACGCGGCCATGGACCCGGGGCTGGTGTACGACGCCGGGCCGGAGGACTTCGTGGAGCTCCTCTGCTCGACCAACTTCACCGCCGCGCAGATCATGGCGATCACGCGGTCCAAGGCGTACAACTGCTCCTTCTCCACCAACGACATGAACTACCCGTCCTTCATCGCCGTGTTCGGCGCGAACGACACCTCCGGCGACATGAGGTTCAGCAGGACGGTGACCAACGTCGGCGCAGGCGCCGCGACGTACAGGGCGTTCTCGGTGTCACCGAGCAACGTGGAGGTGACCGTGTCGCCGGAGACCCTGGTGTTCACCGAGGTGGGGCAGACGGCGTCGTTCTTGGTGGACCTCAACCTCACGGCGCCCACCGGCGGCGAGCCGGCGTTCGGGGCGGTGATCTGGGCCGATGTGAGCGGCAAGTACGAGGTGAGGACTCACTACGTCGTGCTATGACGGTCAACCTTGGTCTTCTAGTCATGTCGGACTTCTGTGTACTGGTCGGAATAATGTCGTGGAACAAACATCCATTCTTATGGATTGGGATCCTCTAACATGATATAAGAGGAACATGGTGATTGACATGTTGCCCCACCACTCATGGGCCCACCTGTCAGTGATCACGTCAGATAGCAGTTCATATTAAAGGATCCGGATCTCTATTTTACACGCCATTACGGTTACAAAAGGCTATTACACAAGCATTAAGTGAACCCCGTCACAAGCATTAAGTGAACCCCGTCACCCAACAATTTTCTTTAAGTTTATATAAACTTGAGTTTATTACAAGAGTTCTTATCGTCCTTTAGGGAAGGCAGTACTAAATCCAGGCCGTCTATCTCGCACAATCTAAGAGTTGGAATTGCTTTGTACCAGGTGGTACTACGTCCCCAAGAGAGGATTTCGAACTATGGGTGGGAGGGTAAAATTGTACTTTCGCGTATACACTCTCGTTTCTATCGGTTTATCTGACACAACCTCAGCGTACATCGCCGCCGCCGCAAATCGGGGATGAATGGAGACGCCTCAAATCCGGCTTGATGCTAGCTCATCGATGCATTCGGTGCCAATGCCCTACAGGCCGCTACCTATATCGTTCACGGGCTCAACCCAAATCGAAAGCCCCGCCATGAAGTTCGATGACGCGGACGGCCACCATCAGCACCGATGCCATGGACTGTGAGGACGCTACATATTCATGAGGAGTTATATGGCGGAATGGATTTTGATACCTCGAGGGGATGTTCCCTTATTGTGTGCATGCTACTCAAATGGTTATAGAAAAAAAATAAAAAAAATTGAGAAGATGTATTAACATGTGATATAGCACTCCACAAACATGCAAGTTCAAATTCAATTTTATATCTCACAACGAAAAAAATAAATTTAACTGTGAATATTTGTTAACTAGTTGTAGTTTAATTTGTTTTTTTCGTAACGAGATGTATAAGTTGAATTTGAATTTACATATTTATGGAGCGATGTATCACATGTTAGTATATGTTAGTACATGTTACATATTTTTTTAATTTTTTTCATAATCATTTGAGTGACATGCAACAAATGAGGGATATACCCACGAGGGATAAAAAGAGTTACCCTTAAATGACAACCGACTACTATCATCAGCGCTGAGATAGCGTGGATGCTGCCGATGCCCGGTATGCTCTTTTTTCTCCTCAATACTCGCGTATTCCACATTCATAAAAATAAAAACAAGGCTTCTAACGACACCAAACAATTCATAACAACGAATTCAAGACACTGCGGGCTATGATCGATCCATCGAGGAAACAAAGCATGAAAAACGTATATTTAGCACACTTGCACAGCCGCTTGCCTTTGCTGATCCCAGCCTAATGTGGCCTTATAAGCCTTAGGCCCAAATAGGTACGTTTTTTTTTTCTAGTTTTTCCCTATTTTGTGACATAAAAATAGATCGAAACTTTATATCCAAATTTTGTATTTAAAGACTTTGATTTCTTTTACTATTTTAGCCGTTTTAAATATTTTTAAATTCGAGTAAAATTTTGTATTAAGTAGGGCGAGACACCACCTCTCCCCCTAAGAACATGCGCGGATTAGCATCCCCGTACGAGGAATTGTTCAAGACCGCAAGCTAATCTAGTACTCCCTCAATACTCGTAAAGGAAGACGTTTAGGACAATGTTTAAGTCAAACCTTGGGAATATATATTATGAATAACTCTCAAGTTGTTGAGTTTGAAAATGTAAAAATTATATGAATAGATTTGTCTTGAAAAATACTTTTATAAAAGTATACATATATCACTTTTCAATGAATATTTTTATAGAAATAAGAAGTCAAAGTTGTGTTTTGGAGACCATGTCAATGTCCTAAACGACTTCCTTTGTGAGTATGAAGGGAGTACAGTTCATTTATGCGTCCAGGGATCAGTTACTACATCTGTCTTAAAATATAATAATTTTTTGCTATAAATCTGAACACATAATTATTTTGATTCATAGCTAAAAATATTTATATTTTAAGACGGATGAAGTATTAGTTAAGCTACCGCGCCGTGCATGGCAACACGACGAAACACCAGCAGCACCCCCGTGATTTTGGGTGTTCCCCGGTACGCCTCATGGCGAGACTTGATATAAGTGCATCTGTGCATGGCTCGCGAGACCTGAAAACCGTATATGTGGGCGTGTGGTTGAGAACTTGATTGGGATGATGATGAGACCCGGTGGGTCGAACAACAAGCGTACGTAGACGAGCCAACGCGCGTACGCCATTTTTCCCGGCCCTGCGTCACACGGCATTCTTGTCCCGTATCCGCGCCCCGCGTTCGCATCGATCGATCAACCGGCCAACCGCCCCAGATATGGCCTCTCGCGCGCGCGGGGACCCAAGCAACCACCGGGCAAATCCAACGCCCAATTCGTCGAGAGATTTTTCAGCTGGTGCGTAGACGTCGCTAACCCCCATCGCCTGCTAGTATAATAAGATGACGCCTACGTCGTTCCGTGCCTGAATCCGTGGCACAGCTACGTACGTACGTGCGTGCTCGTTACACGTATATGGCGGCGTCGCTGGCAATCGTTGCCGTGGTCGTCGCGCTGTGCGTGGCGGCTGCCGCGTCGGCCGAGACGGCGACGTACATCGTGCACATGGACAAGTCGGCAATGCCGAGCGGCGGCGGCGGCGGGAACGGGTCGACCAGCCTGGAGAGCTGGTACGCGGCTACGCTCCGGGCGGCGGCGCCGGGCGCCAGAATGATCTACGTGTACCGCAACGCCATGAGCGGGTTCGCCGCGAGGCTGTCCGCCGAGCAGCACGCGAGGCTGAGCCGGTCCCCGGGTTTCCTCTCGTCCTACCTCGACGCCCCCGTGACGCGGCGCGACACCACGCACACGCCGGAGTTCCTCGGGGTGAGCGGCGCGGGGGGCCTGTGGGAGACGGCCAGCTACGGCGACGGCGTCATCGTCGGCGTGGTGGACACCGGGGTGTGGCCCGAGAGCGGGAGCTACCGCGACGACGGGCTCCCGCCGGTGCCCGCGCGGTGGAAGGGCTACTGCGAGTCCGGCACGCGGTTCGACGGCGCCAAGGCGTGCAACCGGAAGCTCATCGGGGCGCGCAAGTTCAGCGCGGGCCTCGCCGCCGCGCTGGGGAGGCGGAACATCACGATCGCCGTGAACTCGCCGCGCGACACGGACGGCCACGGCACGCACACCTCGTCGACGGCCGCCGGCTCGCCCGTCCCGGGGGCGTCCTACTTCGGCTACGCTCCCGGGGTGGCACGGGGCATGGCGCCACGCGCCAGGGTGGCCGTGTACAAGGTCCTGTTCGACGAGGGCGGGTACACGACGGACATCGTCGCCGCCATAGACCAAGCCATCGCAGACGGCGTCGACGTGCTCTCCATCTCGCTGGGCCTCAACAACCGCCCGCTCCACACCGACCCTGTGGCCATCGGCTCGTTCGCCGCAATGCAGCACGGCATCTTCGTGTCCACCTCAGCCGGCAACGACGGCCCGGGCCTCTCCGTCCTCCACAACGGCGCGCCGTGGGCACTGACCGTCGCCGCTGGCACCGTGGACAGGGAGTTCTCCGGCATCGTCGAGCTCGGCGATGGCACCACCGTCATCGGCGAATCGCTGTACGCCGGCTCGCCGCCGATCACCCAGAGCACTCCACTCGTGTACCTCGACTCCTGCGACAACTTCACCGCCATCAGACGAAACCGCGACAAGATCGTGCTGTGTGATGCACAAGCTTCCTCCTTTGCTCTGCAGGTTGCAGTGCAGTTCGTGCAAGATGCCAACGCGGCCGGCGGGCTCTTCTTGACCAACGACCCGTTCAGGCTGCTGTTCGAGCAGTTCACGTTCCCGGGCGCCCTGCTGAGCCCGCACGACGGGCCGGCGATACTGCGGTACATCCAGAGGAGCGGCGCTCCGACGGCCAAGATCGCGTTCCGGGCGACGCTGCTGAACACGAAGCCGGCGCCGGAGGCGGCGGCGTACTCGTCGCGCGGGCCGGCGGTGAGCTGCCCGACGGTGCTCAAGCCGGACATCATGGCGCCTGGCTCGCTCGTGCTCGCGTCGTGGGCGGAGAGCGTGGCCGTGGTCGGGAACATGACGTCGCCGTTCAACATCATCTCCGGGACGTCGATGGCGACGCCGCACGCGGCGGGCGTCGCGGCGCTGCTCAGGGCGGTGCACCCGGAGTGGAGCCCGGCGGCCATCCGGTCGGCGATGATGACGACGGCCGCGACGCTGGACAACACCGGCAGGTCCATCAACGACATGGCCCGGGCGGGCCACGCCGCGACGCCGCTGGCGATGGGGTCCGGCCACATCGACCCGAACAGGGCGGCGGACCCGGGCCTCGTCTACGACGCCGTCCCGGGTGACTACGTCGAGCTCATGTGCGCCATGGGGTACAACCTCTCGGACATCAGGGCCGTGACGCAGTGGTCGACCTACGCCGTGAACTGCAGCGGCGCGTCGTCGCCGGACCTCAACTACCCGTCGTTCATCGCCTACTTCGACAGGCGCAGCGCCGCCGCCGCCGCCGCGGAGACCAAGACGTTCGTCAGGGTGGTCACCAACGTCGGCGCCGGCGCGGCGAGCTACAGGGCGAAGGTGAAGGGCAACCTGGGTGGGCTCGCCGTCAGCGTCACGCCGAGCAGGCTGGTGTTCGGGAAGAAGGGCGAGACGCAGAAGTACACGCTGGTGTTGCGCGGCAAGATCAAGGGCGCGGACAAGGTGCTGCACGGGTCGCTGACGTGGGTGGATGACGCCGGCAAGTACACGGTGAGGAGTCCGATTGTGGCAACGACTTTGAGCTCAACACGGCTGTAGACTCTTCTTTTCACTCTTGTGTACTGTAGCGTGCAAGTTGATTCACATATCTGAAGTTCTGAACATGTTGTTCGTCTCTAGCTGTTGGGCAAATAATGCTTTTGGTGGTTAGTTAGTGCAGTCCGTGAGTTTTGGTATATGCTGCTCGAATGCCCCAGTAATTGGCATAAGTATTTATGTTCTTGCTTTTGTTCAAAGGAACTGTTAGAAGCCCTAAAATATGTCCTCTATAGAGCTAAACTATTGGAATTATGTCAAAAATCACGTCTCCAACAGGTTTCCAAAGGTGCACCCAGTTTTTATGCACGTCCAGTCCTGATGCCCTCGTAAGTATAGACTTCAGGCACCTCGCGGCGCCTCATTTTGATGTCAACGTTAATATAAGAGGATATTTGGCCAGAAACAGTTGGAGAGGATTTGCCTACCCTGATGCCATATTTCTAAGTTTTTGAGAACCAATAATATGTGATCTCTTGAAGGAGGAGATGATTTTTGGACCCATGTTTTTTCACAGCCTCAATCCAAGATTATTGAAAGTTAAATTTTGGATCACTCTTGGAGGTACTTTAAGGCCCCATTTGAAATACAATAATAATAAACATATGAATAAGAAAAACTTAATGTTTTGATAGGAATACATATGAAAAACACAAAGAAATACAAAACAAAAGAATGACCATTTGAATAAACTAGAGGAAATATGTACTCCTAGGAATTAGACGGAATTAGACGAGAGAGAGAGAGACTAAGAATAATAGCTAGAGGTTAAAGCTCTTGCTATCTTTTTTTTAAAATTTACGCACAAAGCCATTCCTAAGAAATTTTGTAGGATTTATGAAGTTCCAATCTTTTGTTGCAAAGGGCCGAACAGAAAAAAATTCTATAAATTTAGATCCTCCAAAACACATCCACAAATCCCTTGAAAAGGAGGTCTAAGAATCGTTGCTACTGTGCTGAAACGGATTTGGCCCGTCATATCGTCAATCAACAAAGATGCCCAATGCCCGCATGCATGTCGTTCCGGATCCCCGTACAGGGTGCATGTGCATGTGTGGTCATAAGCAAACATGATTGTCGATAGAAAGAAACGAAATGAACGTGCTATTGCCAGCTTGTCACCTAAAGCAATAGAGCATGAAAAGTTCACCGATTGAAAGGGAAGGTGCTAATTGGATCTAATTCTTATTCTAAGCATCCTGGTATCTAGTCATTTTTCATCATGAGATAAATACCATAGAGATAATGCAAAATATATGCAGCTGGGATGAACTATACCTAATTCGAACTATATCTTTTTTTTTTGTGCAATATTGAAACTGTACAAAACTGTACATACCAGCAAAGCGCTCACAACTTCAAATATCAAGAGTGTAAGTTCCATTGCTTAAATTCATATACGTATCAGTAGATTGTACACTACCAGATTGTGTTTGCTGCGTAGATTTTGGTGGGAGTGTCTTGTTATGTTGTTCGCCACCGTCCTCATATGGTAACACGACCACAGGAGCAGCATGTATAGATTCCCACCGTTCCTTCATGAAGCTCATGAACGCCTTGACCATCTCCCTCCGGAATTCTAGTTCCCTCGTGAATTGATCAAACATAAAAAATGCAAGAACATATTTGAAAGGAACCACAAGAAGAACAGCAGATGATGCTAGAAGAACAAGAGCAACCTGAGTCGTTACCTGTCATATGATCAAACAAGAATTATCAAGAATTACTTACTCGTATTTGTTATTTTTAGTTGAGAATGAGATTTATTTCATCATACCTCAGGTTGGCCTGCTAAAAAGATTGTGCGTATTTTAAGAAGAGAGAGATTCAGGTTCTGAAGATAATTCTCCACTGAAGCCATTGCCTCTTTAAGAGCTATAATCTTTTGGATTGTGTTTGAAGGTGGTTGATCTTTTATTGTCACTTTGCCAAAAGATCTACCCAACCGACCTTGTTCTTTCAGCCCTTTCAGGGCAAGCATGGAAAGAGCCAACATCATCAAGGAAAATGGAAGAACATAAGAAAGCATGTTCCTACATATCATAATAAATACAGAGAAATGTTAGAAAAATGATGCTTGTACAATACTGGAAGACACAATATTTAGTTGGAAATAAAGATAAAACATGTAAATGAACCAGCAAATGATGATCAATGCCCTGCCAAGCATTTTGTCTATAATTGCTCAAAACTTTCATTTTGGATTAACTGTACACAGTTTGGATGCAGTTGGCAAATGTCCCAATCAGTGAAATTTGAAGATATTCAATTTATATGGCAGGGTGAATTTTCAAATATTGAGTATATTTTCCTATTAATGCAGCAATACTTTTGAATTATAATTTACAACCAGGCACAACAAAAAAAAAAAGAAGAGTCAAACACGATAACTACCTTAGCAAGGAAAACAATCTACACCCCTTTTCACAACACATATAATCCCTACTCTGAATTACTTTAAGTTGATATTCAATGCATTGGAGCAGTACAACAACTCAACAAGAAAAGGATACATGCGTTAAGTGAATTACCTGAAGATAATAGTATAAACCACAAGTAGAAAACAAGCGGTTGTACGAGAATTTTCCCAGCGTTTGAGCTTGTAGAATTTTTCACTCACTATTGCAAAAGGAAGTATAAGCTCCTGATTCATGAAACAAGAGATACATTATAAACATGAACCCCCTGCCTAAGAACAAGAGATTTCCAACTCAACTGAAAATAAATCGGTATTTTTTCTACCAAAACTTCAGCAAAGAAATAATATTTCCAAAGCTAAATCTCTGATTGAAATGAGAGTAACCATGCCAGGACAAACCACAAGTATAACGAAACCTAAATAAACCATATTGTTTTTGTAAGCCATGCAACTGGATGACAGACATGTACCTTGAAGAGGTCAATGTTGCTTGGAATACCTTCAATAGTAGCGGCAACAATTGTGGCCTGTGTCCTTTCAACTATTTTGCTCTTCTCTTTACAGGCAACCATAGCCTTTTCTACAAGATTTTTATCAGCTACAACTAAAGATTTGCTCAATATTACACCATGCTTAACTGAGGAGTTTCTCCAAAAGTTGGCCGAGTGGCTGGATGTCCAACTGGGAGATGTCATCCACTTGCGCAAGTATACACTACCATCTATGTCAAAAATATGAGCATGGGCGCTAGATGAGTCTTCTGAAGGTCTATGCCACTGAGATGCTCTTTGACTTGCTGCTTTGGAGTTCGTAACAAGTGGCCCGCCCCAGAACTTAACCGCTAAAGTCTGAAGCACAACATCACCAAAAGGTGCATTTGACAGGTATGAGAACTGTACTAACTTGGCTGGATCTTCATAAAGTCTACGTATAAATTGCAGAGACTGAAGCCTTGCAATACTATTTGCTGCACTACTTACAGCTCTTTTCTTGCCTCTGTGGGCACCATATACATGATGAATTGCTGGATCATCATCCCTTGGTCCATATTCATTAATGAACCTATACACAGAAATGATTTCACTAATGAATGCGAGCCATACATCTCGTCTCATCTCTCCACCAAAATCAACAAACTCCAATGTCCACTCATTTGACCTGTCAACAATCAATCAGTTACTTTGAGATTACACTAAATGCATTTTATCATTACAATTAAATAGCGCGGACAATATGCTAACACAAATCTACAATTTATAATACAACTACAAACCAATAGAATAATCAATATGTTTAACAATATTGCACCAATAGAGAAATGGTAACAAATCAAAGAAATAACAGATCCTCCTGACTATAGTGAAATGCCAAGTATTTGTTAGCTAATAGTGGCCAGCAGTGATTTCACAAATGGAGTACTATGGTGTAGTTTGGTATGGTTACACCAATCAATTTGGCAGTAATCAGTTCTAGTGTTCTCCTAGCAATTTGTAGATAGCAACTTAATAGTGAAAATGGTCACCGTGGGGTCATTTTTTTTTTCAATAGTGAAAATGGTTCCTCTAGAGAGTAACCAGGCATACTCACACTGAACCAGATGAAACAGATACGGCAGAGTCGAACAATCTGGATCCAAATGGTCCAACCTTTGCTTTCTCAACCCTTGAATTACGATCTGTAAGGTCAAGCTTCAATGGTTTATTGGTACTTGTCAGTCCAATGGCCTGCCAATATCAATGTAAAGGTGGAGGAGTTGGGCCCAAAGTCATCACATCTTGCGAAATTCCAAAAGAAGCCACAAGTAGAATTGTTAAAGGGGACCATGATTCACAAATTACATGATCAACAAAACTTTCATTTTTTAACTGACTTATTTGATGAAAGAAGATGTTCTATCATTGTACAGCTTATCTATTTATATTTACGTGAGTGTTAAAACAACATCAAGTGGTATTACAGAACATAGAACATTTTTTTCCTTTGCTATCATAACATGGGAAATATTAGAGAGAACCGAGATCAGTATGATGCTTAAGCATGCTTGACAAAAGGGCCATCTGTACGGATAGCAACAACAAGTGATGCATATTTTTAAATAACAGAGGAAATCACTCTTAAAAAAATACACACATTCCAAGTATTAATTCATACCTCAAAATAGAGTGCCTTGTTGGTCAAGGTTAAGTGTCCAGGCCACGCAGTGTTTTCTTCCCATTTCAGAACAGGTCTTTTTCTACTAGAGCCTATGCATAGGACTTGCTCATCGGACAAAAAATGATCTCCACTTTTATGTGTTTGCCTCCCATGATGAACTCTGCACAGGTACCAGTGATCACAGAAGCCAAACATTCAGCATATAGAGTAATACTCCCTAGGAGCATATGAAAATGATAGTTGAAATTGTGAACTATAATTAATAGTTCAAATTGGACACAGAATCTGACAACATGATCACGCTTTACCAGATTAAAGTGACATATAAATACATTATTATTTTGATTTATGATGGTGGTAAGAGCCATCAACAGCCAAGCAATCAAATTTCTTGCTGGCCTAAGATCTAAGCCAAAAGTCTAAATAAAGAGATGTATCATGTAACCTGAAGTTAGAAATACATTTCCTGAAACTTGAGAAGCTTAAGTGTGATTACAATCAGAAAAATCAGCCGAAGATGTAAAGGTGATCTTACTTCAGAAGTTCACCAAGGTATGTTGTCCATATATCTAAAGAAAGCCCCTTTTCAGAACCGACAAGGGCCCTGAAGAGATAATGAGCCGTTGAAACATCAGCTACACCTGCCACAGCAGGGGCAATTCGGACAAAGGCATCTTCTCCAACAAGTCTTCCCTACATGTTAACATACAAACTCAGAAATTCATTTCTTGTAATTCCAGTAAAGGAACTCAGTGATATTGCATGAATTTAAGTTTTCCACAAGGACAACAACGCGTACATATACAGATGAATTACACCTCACCAGTATAGAATAGTTATCTAGTGAAGACTCTGTGTCATCATCTTCACCATATGGATCTTCCCACGCAAGCATAGTCATAAATATTAGCCTTTGGAATGCAAGCTCCTGCCGAACAATTCAAGTAAAGGTACTTACCAAAAACTAGAACTGGCTAAAAAATAACAAGTGCAACAAGCATGCAATAATGTTGTGTTAACTGACAGGGAACTTGGCTTAAGGAGTGTGGAGCACTGTAGCACATATTACACTTCATCGAAACAACAATACTGAATTAGTAACTATTTTACCTTTAAACTTGGATGCAAATCAGAGTTATCTCTTGACAAATAGCGGAAGCAACAATACTCAACCAGATTTCGAGCATCATTCTGAACATGACTAGGAGCAAGAGCTTCAAAGATCCTCTGCACCTTCCTCCCCGTTAACCCATTCAACCTGAAAAAAAAATCATGTAAATGGGTGAAATTCAGGACAGATCCCAGACCATCCATGAGCTCATATTATATATATACTTCTCCAACTGCCCTTTTGAACTGTTACCAATTGAATCCATTTCTCACTTACCCAATCAGCAACATACACGAAATTTAGAATGACAAGACCATACATGGACCAATCAACCTGATTCCATATGTAAATTTGTGGGATGCAAGTTGCTAGGATCAAAGCCATGCCAGTGAGCATGGCTGCTCCTGTCATCCATGCTGCTAGTCCTTGTTCCACAGACAGCAAGGTAGGTATCTATCAAAATCTACCATCTGAATTTAGCCAAACCAAAAATTGACTGTCGCTACATACTAAGTCACATACTCACATTGATCATGGGATCTAGCAACTCTCAGACCATCATAAAGTAGGTGAAGCATAACTGTAATGATATACGAACTGATTGAGATAGGTCCACTCGTTTTTCTACAAATCTAGTCATTACTATTATCATCGTGGCTACAATGAACAATCAACCGTGGAAGCGCAATCGGAGATAACTTTTACCAACCTGGCAAACTGCTCGATGGTGACGACAGCGTCTAGCGAGAGCCAGCCACGACCGACCCGCCGTTCGACGGTGATCTCCGGCACCGCGACGAGCGCCTGCTCCTCCAGCGCCTCCTTCCGCCGCTTCTTCCTCCCCTCCGCCTCCTCCTTGCTCCTCCCCTTCTCCCGCGCCGCGTTCGCCGCGTCGGCGATGGCGCCCCTCGCCCGCGACAGCCACGACCGCACCCGCTCCTGCACCGCATCTGCCAGGCCCACCACACCACACCACACCAAACCCCAGCGATCAGCGCGGCGACCGACGCACACACAAACACACATGGTGGGGGTGGTGCGGGCGCTCACCTGCGTCGACGTCGGGGATCCGCCACTGGGAGCGGAGGGCGAGGGGCGGCGGGGGTGCCGCGGCGCGGCGGCGACGGTGGTGCCCCCCGCCAGCGACCCTGCGGCGGGGGAGCGGCGTGAAGCGCGGGGGCTGGAGCCGCAGCTGGAGCATGGTGGCGTCGCCGCCGCAGCCGCCGACGATCGGTGGGGGGGAGCTAGTGGTGGTACGGAGGCGGGCGTGCCAAACTTTCCCTCGATTCCATTGGCTGGGAGTGGGAGCTGCACGTTGTCTCGCACTGCTTGCTTGCTTGCTACAGTTTGGGAAGCGGACTAGCGGAGAGAGGCAGATGACGCTTCTGGACTCTGGACTCGGGTGTGTGGGGGAAGAAAAAGACTTTGCCCTCTTCTCGTCTTCTCCATGTGATATGGCTGCTTGTTTGGGCGTGGGCGGTGGGCCCCACCCGAGAGATTATCCAGACGAAATGAATGAGGCCGTCATCACAGCCTGTCAGGCCGTGTTCGGATGGGCCGAAATCTAAGACCGGTTCACGTGAGGAATAAGTTCACTGTAAGTCCCTTTATTTGTCGCCCAGCCTAATTTTCGTCCCTACAACACAAAACCGGATACAACGCATCCCCCAACTTACAAAACCGTGCAAATAAGGTCCCTCGGTGGTATAGTCCCTGATTTTAGCTGATGTGGCGCTCTTTGACTAGGTCTTTATCCAATGTGGCATCGACGTGGCGCTTACGTGGCAATTCGATCCGAAAAAAATAAAATCCATAGTATCCACATGTCAGTTACACATAAATAATAAAAGATGGTGGGACCCACATGGGAACTCTAAAACTGAGAGGAGAGATTTTTTTTTTGTTTGTTTGTTTACCGTCCGACCTCGCTCTAGCCGTCGACCACCACGCCGTCGACAGGGACGATCTCGCCGGCCCTGACCGCGACGACGTCGCCCACGCGGACGTCGCGCACGCTGACGACATCGCCCGTCGTCGCGAGGACCGCCTTCGCAGGTAGCATGCCCATCAACGACGACATCTCGGCACTCGCCTGCAACCTCGCAACGTGAGTGTTCGTCCAGGTTTGTGTAAGATCGCCATGGATTTGGTGAAGAAGACGATAACATTGACATGAACCTTTGTGCATGCCAGTGTCTCGAGCCATTCTGCGGTGGTGAAGAGGAAGACGATGGCGCGGCAGAGCGCGCCGGCGCCGGCGATGAGCATGAGGACGTTGATGTCGAGTTACAGCTGGCTCGCCGCGGCGAACCCACGGCGCACCATCGGCGGCGCGCCGGCGACGACGGCCGCCACGGCCAGGCACTGCAAGGGAGGGAAGAGCCACTCGAAGAAGGAGGCCATGAGGAGGACGCCAGAGGCGACGATGTACGGGCTCGGCCACCAGATGACCATGCCGCTGCTGCCGTAGGCCCACACCGACGCCTCGAGGCCGGCCTTGTTCAGCGCCTTCACTGGACTCCAGACAAAGACGGCGACGAGCCGACGACGACTCGATTCCGTGAGAATCTTGCGCGAGAATCGCATGGAGGATTAATGGCGCGCGCGCGGTGGCTTACCTATGGCGGACTCCGTGGCGGCGGCGGGGTCGTGCTCGACGACGGCGGCGCACGAAGCCGATAGGAGGAGTGGAGTGGGCGGCGGCGGGCGAAGCCGGCAGGCACACGGAGCAGCGACGGCGGGCGGAGCAGCCCGGTGGAGCTGAGCGGGCGGCGGCGCGCGAAGCCGACAGGAGGAGCGGAGCGGGCGGCGGCGGGCCACTGGCGGAGCTGAGGGCGGAGCAGCGACGGGCCGCGGGCGGCACCTCTCCTCCCGCCGGTCAGCGCCCCGCGCCCCTCCGGCCACTGCCGCAACTTCTCCCCCGCCGTCCGGCCGGCCGCTCCGCCCACGACACGCCGCCGCTCCTCTTCTCCCCCTTCTCCCCCGCCGCCGGTCCGGCCGCTGACCGGCCGTTCCGCCCACGACACGCCGTCGCTTCGGCCGGTGACCCGCCGCCGCCCGCCCCTCTCTGCCTCCGCCCCGCCGTCGCCCGCTCCGGCCGCGCCCACCCCACTCCGCCGGCTGGAGACAGAGAAGAGGGAGAGAGGGGTGACAGAGAGAAGAGGGTAGTGAAGATGACGTGTGGGTCCCACCATTTATTATTATTTGTGTGCAACATGTGGGTCCCATGGATTTTTTTTTTCCGAATCGAATTGCCACGTAAGCGCCACGTTGGACGAAGACCTAGTCAGAGGAGCGCCACGTCAGCCAAAACAAGGGACTATACCGCCGAGGGACGTTGTTTGCACGGTTTTGTAAGTTGGGGGATGCGTTGTATTCGGTTTTGTGCTGTAGGGATGAAAATTGAACTGGGCGACAAATAAAGGGACCTAAAGTGAACTTGTTCCTTCCCGTGAAACATCCACAAGGTTTGGGCCTCGTTTCTAAATGGGCCTGAATCCCGGCGTTGTTGTGTATGGGCTGTAATGTTAGTGGGCTGACACCTAAAGAAAGACCAGCGCCGGGGGGGGGGGGGGGGGGCATAGATTCCCCGAGGCCGCGACAAAGGAAGAACGCCACCATTCGTCCAGGTCCAAAGCAGATGCCAGTATGCCACCAACCAATTATTAACACAACAGATGCTTGTGCTAAATGGTTCTTTCCTCATGAAGACTCAGATTTTATTTCAATTTCCGTTAGCACGTTTTTCAAGCTACAAAGTTGCTTTAAAATGTTAAATTTATCCATTTATCATGTTTATAATAATTAAAATTTAATTAATTATGTGTTAATAGTTTTCTCATTTTCCTTTGAGCCAACCTTTTTTTAACGGAAAACAGCATTAGAGTGCTTTTTCATTGAATAGAGTAGGAGAAAATAAACACCTAATAATAAAAGAAAAAGATCACCGTAAGCTGTACATGAGCGCGGAGCCAACCTAATTTTTATCTCCATCAGTTTCAAACACCGGCGTTGTGGAATTTTTTTTTCCAAGTTCACTTGGCAAACGGAAGCACCTGTCGCTGCGTATCTGTGGAAAACGGCCCGGGGCCGGGGAAGGCGACGACTGAGGAGGGCGTAGCCGCGCCCGCGCGCAGAGGCGTCCATCTCACCCACGACAGCAGAGCACGGCATCGCGCCCATCGGAAGGCCACACAAGAAAAAACGGCCGCGAAAATCACCCTCCCTTCCTTCTCGAAGCGTTCGTAGAAAAATACCGTCTCTCGTCTCGTGTCGCGGTCGCGGATGCCGGGGTCAAAACCCTCCCCGCCTCGTTCCCGTTGAGCTCGCCGCCGCTAATATCCTAACGAACTAACTAACCATCTCATCCTCGAGGTATCCGGCCAAGCCGCCACCGGGGTCACCACCATCGAGCTCGTATGGAGCGGAGGGCGCAGCCGGTGTCGGCGGCGGTGGCGCCGGTGACGGGGAGGAGGAAGGGTGCGGCGGCGAGCCGGAAGTGGATGGTGGTGCCGGCGGTGGGGGAGGAGCGGAGGGTGGAGTTTGGGAAGCACCAGATCATGAAGATGACGGGGCTCCCCGGGCGCGACCTCCGGGTGCTCGACCCGGTCCTCTCCTACCCGTCCACCATCCTCGGCCGCGACCGCGCCATCGTCGTCAGGCTCCAGGGCGTCAAGGCCATCATCACCGCCACCGAGGTGCTCGTCCCCGACCACGACGACGTCCTCCTCGCCTCCTTCCTCCTCGACCTCCGCTCCCGCCTCTCCCTCCCGGTTGGTACACCGTACACCATCTCTTTTTCTCTTCTGTTTTCTCATCATCACCACATCCAGGTTCACTCTGTTGCATTGGTTGTACTAGCAGATTGCATCTGCAAACTGATATGACATTGAACTCTGGAATTTGATTCTGTTATCGTCGTCGTGATTGACTCTACTGAAACTCTGATGATGATTATTCTGGGTGAAGGATGCGGCGCCTAGCACGAATCCGGCGGCGGCTGATCGCGGGAACGGGACGGAGCAGGGCGATCAGGGGAGCGTGCCAGGTCTGGCGATCAGCGGTGCTGGCAACGCCAAGATCCCGCCCTTTGAGTTCAAGGTGCTCGAGGTCTGCCTCGAGCACGCATGCAAAGACTTGGAATCTCAGGTATACTGCCAGAAAATTTGTCTATTGCTGCTGATGATGAATCAAACCAATGGTAGTATATATTAAGGGGGTGTTTAGATCTAGAGGTATAAAGTTTTGGCGTGTCATTTCGGGCATTATATATGGTGTCGTATAGGGTATTCGGATACTAATAAAAAAATTAATTACATAATCCATCATTAAACCGCAAAACGAATTTATTAAGCATAATTAATCCATCATTAGCAAATGTTTACTATAGCACCACATTGTCAAATCATGGAGCAATTAGGCTTAAAAGATTCGTCTCGTAAATTAGTCGCAATCTGTGCAATTAGTTATTTTTTAACCTATATTAAATACTTCATACATGTATTCAAACGTTCGATGTGACAGGGTGAAAAATTTTGAGGTGTGATCTAAACAGGGCCTAATTCATGTTCATCTCTGTCTCTGCAAATGGTGTCAGACACGCTCTCTGGAGAAGGAGGCGTATCCGGCCTTGGACAAGCTGGGATCGAAGGTTAGCACGCTGAACCTGGATCACGTCAGGAATCTGAAGAGCCGCATGGTTGATCTCTCAGGGCGCGTGCAGAAGGTACGCAAGAACAGTGGACTCCGTTCGCTTGAGTCCGTTTAAGTTGCAGCTGAAAGCGATGGCACCTAAGCATTTTGGCCACCTGTTCTTGGTCTCGCATGCAGATTAGGGATGAGCTGGAGCACTTGCTGGATGACGACATGGACATGTCCGAGATGTACCTGACGAGGAAGCTGTCGTTCCAAGGGCTCAGCGGATCGCTGAGCAGAGCGGATTCACACAAGTACGCATCTGTTGATCATGACGACGATAGGTATGTCACCTGAATTTTGTTCTTTCTGGTTTTTGGCAGGATCGAAAGACTCGAAGTAGGAGTTGTTACCTGAATTCTTTAACCGGAAATGGATGTTGATTGTTGATAGATTGCCGATCCGTGGCTTTTGTTTTAATCTTTCATTTGCGCCTGTATTCAGGGAGGAGGAAGACCATGACGATGAGACAGAGAGTGGCCGTGAAAGTTCTGTTTATGTTAAGCCTGATATAGAAGAGTTGGAAATGCTTCTGGAAGCTTACTTTGTGCAGATCGATGGAACGCTGAATACCCTGTACCATGTATGTTCATCCTCCTCCTTTACTAAGGGCTTCATCTTTTGCCTATAATAAATCAGCCATTGCCAAATTTTAATATAAAAGTTAATTTTAGAGTTTATTTTGGGCACTTTTAACATAGTTTCTTTTTTAGCAATAGCTTTTAAATCACTAAAAACACGCATCTAAAAGTTTCACCTACAAACTATTTTTTGGTTGCTTTGTTTTATACATTTTTTAGTTGCTAATAAGCTGTTATGGTTTATAATCAGCTCTCGGTCAACTGATGAAGTTGAACATTGCCATGCTTAGATTGTTACTGAAATGGTTGTCATGCTAATATCAACTGTTTTAGTACAATTTAGTGATACTGTCCAGTTTGGAAGATAAACATGCGATATTTAGCATAACTTCTGTAAAAGTCTCTGCAGCCAAAATCTGACGAAATCTTGTTAATGTTTGCCATTGAAATCGACACTGGTTTTATCAAACAGTTAAAATGTATAGCCTGCATTGTCACGCACTTGCATCGCTCACTACTAGCAAATTCCATGCATTGCTTGATGTTTCATTGCCCCCCTGACATTTGCCTATTGACATGGAACAAAGATCCGTGAATACGCGGACGACACGGAGGATTACATCAACATAATGCTGGACGAGAAGCAGAACCAGCTGCTGCAGATGGGCGTGATGCTGACGACGGCGACGGTGGTGGTCACCGCGGGCATCGTGGTGGTGAGCCTGTTCGGCATGAACATCCACATCGACCTGATGAAAGACCCGGAGACCCCCGAGATGGTGAGGATGTCCAACATGCACTTTTGGGAGACCACCTTCGGCACGGTCGCCGGCTGCATCGCCATATACCTCCTGGCGATCTACGCTGGGAGGAAGAGCAAGATCCTGCAGTGATGCTTCCCAACAGAGGAAGCTAAGCGTCAGGTTGCGAGTTCTGCAGCCTGGCTGCGATTTTGCTGGGCAGTGGCGTAGTTGATAGGTTGTGTATGGATGTGATGCATTTTTGTTGATTTCGTATGGTGTGGGAGCAATAATAATCGAACGATCTCTCTCCATTTCCTGCTCTTATTAGAAGTTAGCACTTAGCACTACTATGTTAAATTTCGGCCAAAGGAACCACTATGTTAAATTTCGGCCAAAGGAACCCTTTCAGAAATGCTCTTGCCACATTTCGCATTCGAAGTAAATCCAAAAAAGGTACCAGTAATTCTCATTCAAAGTTAAAACACGTGCTCTGACTTTTACTGACTATGCTGAACGGCTGTGCCACTTTTTCCAGTGGCCGATCCAGAACAAAACGAAGTAACAAACCAGTGTTGCCTTTGTCAATGGCAAATCGCCTAAAGATCAACAAATGATATATATGCTCATCTGACTATCTATTTTGTATTTACAAGGTGATATGGTGATGCAAACAAGATTTTTTGTAAACGCCACAATACTCATTATCTGATGCACAACAGGTATTCCCGACCTGAGAATAAATATTCTACACAAATCAGCTATGTTTAGACTTACAGTTGCACCTTCCTTGATCTAGTACACCGAACCTGGCCAAAAAAGGGGAGTCATTGACGAACCAAAGAAGATGCTCGAGTTTTCAAAAAAAAAAAAAAAGCTCGAGAAGGTAAATAAAAGAACCAAAGAGGAATTCTGCGTATTCTTCTCAAATTGACTTACGTTATCTACCGGGTTAAAAGCAGTTAATCCAGAGCTGGTCTGTGCATTACTCGAATCCAACGCTCTCTTGCTGTTTTTCTTGAGGCCAGCGACTCCTAAAGAAATTGGAATCGATGGGTCAGTATCGATGTAAATATGAAAGGAGACAAAAGAACTTCCCAACTGGTCAGTGCTGACAACTTAATTGACTGTGCAGCATTGCCATTTCCAAATGAATGCTGATTGGAACATTTCTAACAATTCAAGGCTTCCTAGCTCAAAAATAAATTATGGAAATTGTTCTGAAAATGACAGATATTTATCACTTCAAAACATGCAGGCATTCCTAGAAAACCAAATTGGATAATGCCACTCTAAGTACTGTTTGCTTAGACATTGTATATAGAGTAACTCATTTACCTGTTCTGTTATTTGAAAAAGGCTGCTTCACAAAATTGTCGTCAATATCACCATCTTCATCAGGATCACTGTTACAAGCTGAGATGTGAGTACCCTGTGTTGCACGTTAGGCAAAGTTCCTAAATAAATGATACATAATATTTCTCACCAGACAATAGAAGAGCCAGGAAGCAACATCTCTTGCCTTTTGTTTTGAGAATCAGCTGAACCCTTCCCACGAACTCTCTTGAAAGAACTATTGAGGATTCAGGACAAGTATCACCATAAGTTGGATAAAACCTTGAAAGCAACGGCTCACTACAGTTCCAACAGCCATGCATCTTACTAGTGCTACATGCCTACATCACATTGTTGATTCTGCCAGTTTTGTACACCGTAAACAACAAGAGCAGTTTCTTATAGAATAAATTGAAAACCCCCTTTTGAAACTACCAAGCTATATATGCAATAGTGGAAGAATAATTTGTTATTTCATTTTAAAGGATGAAACAGATTGGTAGAGATGCACTTATAATGTTGTACACGAAAGTACCAACCAGCTTTCCAGAAACCTAGGCTTCTGAAGTTCACTCAATTTCGTTCTGGGTTCTAGCTATGCAGGCCAAGTCCAGATGAATGTGTCAAGTTTTTTTTTTTAATGTTAACTGAATGTGCCAAGTTGTTATTGCATGCTGCAAGTGCGTGCATATTGTATCTCTCCTTGTGTAAAGTGTTTTATGTAACCCAATCCTTTGTGCTATACCGCAATTCAAGTGTGTAAATGCTCATGCACTAAGACGAGCCATGCATGTTTAGATCAATTTTACCCATTTCTCCAATTACCGTGTAGACCCAATAACTGACATTTGCATAGTTAACTTACAATGGCAATGGAACTATTATACCACCACAAAAAAGATGAATGAAATCACACAGCAGGAAAAGGAAAAGGTCCCCTAACTAAGCAATTTTCAAATACTTCAACTAAGTTGTAACATGAATAGCCATTATTATTTAGGAAAGTTTTTTTATTTTGAGAGAGAAGGAAACAGGTAACAGAAATAGACAAATCCAGCCATTCAAGCAAACTTTGCATGATAGAATATCATCATCTGATGGGATACTCTTTACAGAACTAGCAAATCTAGATTTTCTTGAAGTAATATGATCAGCATAAACATGGTATCACAAGATAAGATATTATTCCCTCCGTTCCAAAATATATGGGATTTTGAATGGATGTGATATATCCTAGTACTACGAATCTCAACAGGGAATCCATCCAAATCCCTTATATTTTAGGATGGAAGGAGTATTTACAAAACATATTCAAGGCATTTGATGTCATCTTAATCATGTATAACACATGCAAATGTTGAATAATGCAGCACAGTGGAAAAACATCTCTGGAGAAGAAAAACATGTTAAACTGCTTGTCTGCTTACCAGCATCTGGGATGGGAGTTGGGAATGTCCTGAAAAAAATCAATATACATATATAAATGTTCATGTGCCAATCAGCATATAGTCCAATCGACCATCAAACTTAAAGGTTGATCACAGGCAATCACCAGGATTTACCTTTACTGTTGAAATTGTGTCACTAATGAATTCCCACTTCTGACATTCCAAGCGCACTAACTCCTTATCGCCGTTTTCATAGATAATCTTAGACACGATCATGCACAAATAATTAGATAGCTGGAAATATGAAAATATTTTCATATGGAGAACTTAAAGATTCCATTTAGCGTTTACAAATTGCTAAGCGTAAATTAATCAGGAAAGTTTCATGGAAGAGCTGTAGGCATAAAGTTTTCTACGTCAGGAACATCCACCCTAGCAGCAGCCAGCAATTATAAATCTCACAAATGAGATCTGCTGAATCAACTAGTAGATATCAAGTTGATGAAGCAAGTTTGAGTAGCACAGTTCTGTTCCATAGGAAAAATCACAACATTCAAATTGTCACATAAATTTACCGCAAACATAAGTTTGTAGTCACAAATAATCAGCAAACAATAGGTACTAAAAACTACGATTAAAGTCTTAAACTACAAATTTACAATTCTTGAAATTAACAAGAATAGCCAAGATTTAGGGAGAATTGTAAAACAAAGACTAGCTATACATTCTAGACAGATAATTTGCAGTCCAAAATAAAAATAATAGTACTATTTTGACATTGCAAAAAACGACAGTAATAACTACTCCATCCCAACACATAGCAACTTCTCCACCTATTTTCTCTTCTCAACCAAACACATCCTTCGCCATTTAATTTCCCCACCTACTTTCTTTTCTCAAATAATCATAACCCTCCCCCATTTAATTCCACCTACTTCCTTAATACCCATGCCCAACCCCCAAAATCCTTATATTTTAAGATGGAGGTAGTAATAAGTTATAACTGTACCTTGTGAAAGCCATTTGACTGATCATATGTCTCAACAGTTCCACAGATATAACTACATCAAGTCAGAACAGCATGTAAGAATATATTGATCAAACAGTTACAGTTTGCAATTTCCATAATCTGCAAGTTTACCACATATCACGTGCTGACCACAATCTAATGCGACACCCAACAAGCACCGTGCCTGTATCTTTCATCTGTAAATCGTATACATGTTAATTCACCAATAAAGTAACTCAAAAGAATATGGCCAAAAGCGCCTGCAAATATAGTCGAACATCACAAGAACTGAACCAACTGGTTAATAATTATATGCATACCACAGTTTCTCGGCGATTAGAATAGTTATGATCTGTCTCCGAAGCTCTAGTTTCCCCAGTGGAGCTTCTACTCTCTGGACGATTCTGGTTTTCTAAGAGAGAGATGCTGTCTATAGAATCAGCTTCCTTAGCTAAACCCAAAGAGGCTGGAGATGACAACTTCGTGCCAGCAGAACCACAAGATGACACCTTCTCTTTTTCCAAACTATGATTAGTAGTCTGATCCTGTTTTTTGTTCCTTTTGCCTTTATCATGACAACTTGCATTTTGTCCCACGATGTTGCTTAATGAGGAACGAGCTTCCTTGTCAGGAGCAACTTCTGTTGATACCCTCTCAGCATTATCAGAACATTTTGTATCATCCTGAAATACATTTTTTTTGTAGAGAACTATAAGACCATTCTTGACCAACGTGAAGCTAAAAATACAACAGAACATAGTTGGAATTGCAGATAGAATGTACCGGGTGTACTGGTCCATGAGCCCCAAGGATTCTCTTTACAAAACTGTCACTAATGAGATCTCCTTGACAGCATTCCTACATAAGAGAATGGTGGAATAGCTAATGCAGAAATAACTAAGCATCAGTTTCAAATGAAGTATAAGAACAATGAGGCAGAATAACTCACATCTGTTTTTCTTGCGCTACCAGACACTCTGAAATAAGATGAGGGCAAGGGAAAGTGACGTGGAGAATCTGACATCTTGCAGTGCTTATCAAGTTCTTTGACAATAAGCAACCCTATTCTTGAGAGAATATGCAGTTTCTGTGACAAGAGTTTAGGCATCAATGCTGGATGAAAATCTTGATATGCAAATGTGAAATATCAAAATAGTGGAAAGAAATATACATGAGTGATCCCACACTCAGCCAGATCCTCAGCCTCAGCTAAATCCCCAGCCATTTGAATAGCACGGAAGATCCCCATAAGAATGGGAACAGAACTGGTATTGTGACCATGCTCATCATCCATTTCAATGAGTGTTCTCAACATCATAACAAGTGGGCTGCCAATAGAACAAAGGAGAAAGTGATTAGAGCTTCAAAAACTCCCAAACACATGTACTAACTAAAAATCCGAAAAGTGTTATGCAAACATCTCAAACAAGAAAACACCTCCAAAATTCCGCAGAGATCTTGTTTTCACATAACTTCATGGGAAATTCCTTATCATATGCTAGGGTATGGGTCAAGAAAACCACGGCATACGCTGGATGGTCTACAAGTGACTCTTTCCTTTTTGTGTTATGATGAACAAATAATCTTCTTTGCTCCTTTAGCACTTCAGTTAAGTACCTTGTCGACTAGGGAAAATACAGGTCAAAAGAAAGAAGACACCTTAAAGCATACAATATGAGATTGTATAGTACGTTAATAGAAACAAGAACAGAAGACACCTACTTCAGTACGAACATCTCTGGAGCAATCTGTTGATGCCAGCGCAAAAGCACATGCATATTTAATAGGAATTGCATGTTCCATTATAAGGTCATGGAGTTTGCAGATGAATGACTTGCGAACAGTATATGAAGAATCCTGGATGCAACGCACAATAATATTAAGAAGAGTAAATACTAAAATATGGAACTGTGACAATTCTCTGAAGAATTAAATTTGACTTGTACAGTACAGTAGGTAATGAAAATGGCTCCTGCAAACAGGCATCTTTGGTTAAAACAGAACATTAAACCTCAAAATCAGTGGACTTCTAGAAGTAAGATTGTAAAATAGTTCTGGGAAAGTCTAGCAGGCACAAAAGTTAATCTTATTATGAAATAGATAGACGATACCCTTGCCATGAGAACTACACTGCGAAATAATTTTGGTGAAATTTGTGAATCCCATAATGCAGCCAGTTGTAGTACAGATTTCCCAGCAGCCAGTTTCAGATATGGCCTATCATTTTCACTGAATGCAAGAAAAGAGAAAATATAATAAGTGCTCAACTTGTATTAAGCAAGAAAAAAATATACATATAAAGATAATGATCGTCATCTAGTAGACTTCAGTTACAGGGATAATATACGGAATTTCTAGTGCAGCTTGTATAGCTTAAAAGTTTACAAACAATAATTCATACTAGTTAATCATAAACCCAAACTATGTGCTATCTAGTGTCTCCTTGATGCACTGCCAATTGATCCATATAATAAGACAAGAAAATTAATGGCTGATGTGAATATTATCCTGCAGACACAAAAACTAGATAACTATCTTGTACAACCAGCTATGCTAACTCGTTGTAACAAAGATAAAACAATAAAAGAAGCCTCATGAGTCATGGAAGCCACATGGAACTTAACTGTAGCACCTTAAGGCATCAGCCATGTCCATAATTGCTTTGATTTTACTTCTATTCTAAAGAAAGTTTTTAAATTTTCCAGAATCCATACTAAACTTGACATGCCACAAAAAACCATGTGTTTCAATAGTGCTCAAACATCTATCATAGAATAGAAAAGCTAATCAACAAATGCATCTCAGATTTCATACTCAGTAACAAGCAGTCAAGTATCATGGCAATCAATTAAGCCGCACATAGAAAGTTAGAATAGTGAAACAGCTATGCAGAAAAAAAAAACATAATAGAATGTGAGAGGGGAGAATAAAACAAACCATAGAGTAATGGCCTTGAACTTTTCAAGAATTATATCTAACAGAATCTTCAGAAAATGCTCAATTCTATCACGGACTGTGCTTCTTGGTAAACAACTTTTGACAAGAGTTTTAAGACAATAAATCTACAAAAAAACACAAAAGAGATCAGACCAGAACACAAATGATAAAGCCTTCCTATAAACATTCTGAAATCCTAGTGTATAACTCCCATCCTGAAGAATATCTAATGAATTCTAGGAAAGGTTAGTGATTTGTGCACAACATATTTAAGCATCCCACCAATATTTTTATTTGGGAACACAGTATTCTTAAGTAGAAACAAAAAAGGACAAATATCAGCGAATTAATTAACCCTAAAAGCATAGATTGGAATTATCTTTTTCTCCCGCTATATACAATGTTTTCTTGGTTGATTTTTTTTTTTTGGCGAGGAGTTCTTGGTTGAAACTCATGGGATGCTTGACAATACTTTTGAACCCTGCAATTGCCAGTTCTGTTCTACGAACATGTCAGTCCACTAGTGAATTCTATATGCATTTGGACCTACACTTCAAATCACCATGAGTTGAATCCTTCATTTTTCACAATGAACTTGCCTTCAGTTTGCAGGAGAAACTGCATGCAGAATTGTCGTCAGGTGACAACTGTCCAAGTGTTGAAATGAACTGCATAAAGCATAGCATAAGGTCATGACCATCTTTGTTGACATAATACACTGATGCAATAAACAATTTAGTCTACCACCATTCGTCAAGTTGCCATTAAAAAAATGCATACCTCAGTTGAACATAAAATATCCTGGACAAAATTCATAATTTTCTTGTCGTATAACTTATACATAGAAGGGGAATGCTCCAATATCAAGCCCAAAGACTGTAATAGTGTTGGTACATTGTAATTATCATCTAGAGCAGCAACAACTTTCTGCGGGGTAGAACAAAAAAGTTATATAACACACATGGCATCAACTAAAGAAAAGAAACATGCTAAACCAAGTAAGGAAATATCTGGTTTGGAAATAGTCTAAATGCAGTATACGTTCAGTATGGAAATAGTGAATCATATTAAATATTGTCCTTGATTACTCAATTCATACTTTTATCATGTCATGAAAACTTTTTTAGATGCGACTAGCATGGATATATAGATCATAACATGATACATCATCTGATACATTTTTCTTGAAGCCAAGAATCAAACATTTTAAAACCACATATCTCAGGCTCTCAGCTGGCAGTTTGAAGTTTACACAACAGAATAAAAGGGAGATAAATCCAGCATTATCATGGTGTGATAAAAACATATGCCAGCGTCATCCATTAAAAGAAAGCATAAATTTTGGAAAATGAGTAAGAATGTGGTCCTATTCTCTTGTGTGCTCAAGAAAAAAAAAAGAGTAAGAATGTGATCCTGAGCAAACTAGATAGGTATACAAGTAAAAAAACGGCCCATCGATTAATGACATTGTCAGCGAATGGCAAGATGTTTAAGCATGTTCTCCACCTTCATCTTGTCCAATATCTTGGAGGTTTGCTGCGAAATATAGGGTTCACAAAACCTTCTAGCACGATAACAAAATGACATTAGCTAGTACGAAACAAATTCAGAATTGACGTGCAGAACATTATGCAACAGTAGGAATTATCCAACTTGGAAGTCACGTAATGGCTTTTGTTAATGCAACAATTATAGGTCATAACACGAGCTAGCATCATTCATGTAACAGAACATAATATAAAAAGGTCAGTGCTTAGTTCTTTTTTAATCAGGTAACTTCAAACTTGAAACAAGAAAACAGATTGTAGATGCAGAACTGAGAGAATAGGAATACGGAATATAGTCAACCATCAAGAAGCACTACAGTAGCTAGCACCTACCTCACATAATCTGGCAAATTTTTCGTCATTTGGGGACTGGATTAGTGAATCAATTGCTGCGACAGCATACTTCGATTCAGCACGTGTTCCTTCTATACACTTTTGCTCCAGTAATGGGTAGACATCATCACTGGCAAGTAGAGGCAAAACCAGATTCACTTACACCATGTAACATAATGTTCATGTATAAAAGATAATAAAAAATAGGGACGGCCATGACATGGACAACTTATCTCAAGTAAAAAAAACCTGGAGTTTGCAAGTATGTGCTATTGGTCCATTGATTAAAATTTTCTAACAAATAATCCATTAAAATCTTCAGAAAAAGGCCATGTGATATCATAGAATTAGGGAACATGTTGCAAGGAAATGAAGAAGTGGTCCATCACAGGTTAAGACATACAGAAAATACTGATAAATCAAACATAAGCTGTTACAGATGAATTATCAACGAACAGACAAATCAAGAGAATCCACTTCAAGCACAATTTCCCTGCCAAAAAGAAATTCTCAACTGTATTTTACCTGAAATCAATAGATAAATGGCATCCTGATTTTGCCAAGTGTGCCAACATTTCCAGTGTCTTTTCATTTATCAAGACCGACTCTTCTGAGAACAGCTTTATCAAGTATTCCTCTGAGCCTTGGAATAATGATGGAAACACCTTTGAAACTAGCTGCATGTTTACATTTATGAGTGAGATATCCAAAAGATGAAAAGGCACATACAAAGTCAAAACGTTTTAAATTAAACTAGTGGATCTAAGAATAACAAGCCATGCTGCAGAACAGAAATGAAAAGCGTATCCCATGGAGATAAAGACAATTATTGTGCTTATGGGTTTTGGCTAGATGGTAGTCATTGCTGCAACTAAAGGGACGTGAGACAAGACTGCATCAAGCAAGGAGCAAGGATGAAGCTCTACGTAAAACAATTGCAGATTTCTAGCAAAGTGTAGAATCTGAAAAGAAACAATTAACCCAGTTCCTATTAAATATATACTTACCAGTAAAAGATCACATGCAGCCTCCACATGATTGGTTAATTCATTTCTGTGGGAGAAAAGAACCTCCAGAATGGCATAGATCATCTCCCAATTAAATATTGAATGTGAGCATTTTACAGACAGAACTTTGCAGAAATTGTAAAGTGGGTGTTTGTTACCAATTCTCTTAAGAAATAAATCCTGCAGCCATGAAATTAGGTATAAACAAAGAAAGAAGATTTATGGACTTCAACCAGTGTGAGGATAGAAATCTTGTACAAAAGAAGAAAAAAAACAATTACAATACCTCATACAGAGAAAAAGAGAAAAGGTTATAGATTTAAGTTGAATCCAATGGTGTGTATCCAAATGGCAATAGCTGTAATTATAAGGATAGGAACAGTAGTTGACTTGGTTGAGATATCAGGTTATTGGTCGGACCACATGCTATTATTAACTACATTCACTGAGCTTATATGATGTTCAAAACAGCTATGCAAGAACAAAAGTACAAAACTAATATTTCTAAGGCACCTAGCAAACCCAAGCAGGAGGTTATCATGTGTTGTCTTTAATACAGCTACAGAAGGTTCCAGGTTCAAAGCCTGGTGGGTGCGCTTTTTCATCCAATTTCTGTGAGGTATTATGGATAAACTTGGGTTGACCCAAGTTAATCAAATGCAGAAATAATCTGTTAACATCAGACCACCCAGGGTCTTGCGGCTTACAGAAATTGCAAAACTGACTGCTTTTCACATCTCGATCAAAATAACCACTCAGTATTTCAACAGAACAGGGAAAATCCACTTTACGTTGCTTGCTGACAAATATGCAAATATTGGACTCGTTGTATAAACTGCAGTCTTACTTATCTTACTCCATATGCACTTTAGGCTTACAGAGAAAGTATATAGATAGCCTATATATGTGTGGGTAAACATGCGGTGGAAACTCATGTAAACCCCAACCCAAAAGTCATCTAATTAACACAAAAAAAACACACATGTAGATGAGATGATGTTGCAGAACCATGTAAAAAATCTTGCCCAAACTTGACTTTCTTTGAGATACTATACTATAATAGAAAAATAGATATTAATGTAGCCCACCCACCCACCCCCCTCCCCTTTTTCCTCGTTGTACCAAACATTAGAACACTGAAGAGATTATCTTCCTGGTTTCCATGAGTGTTATTTGGTCCATTAGGAAGTCAGCACAGATATCAATGAAGCAGGATATGCCAATGTGGATTAGTATGTTGAATCACACTGGCTGATTGCACAGTGCATTTTAAAGTACAAACCAGAATGTCCCTTCCCCCTCCCTCTTTCATCCCAATAAGCTGATATTGATTGGATTTCCTAAAATATAAATGGAACAAAGCAATGGAGAAACTAAGCAGTATACAGCTTGTCAGCTTCAGAAATAAGAGCTAAAAGAATATTACTCTTATCGACTGGACTGTTGCAAAACTGCTGCCCTCATAACTTAATTCAGTCAAATCCTTAAATATGTTATTGTCTTTCAGCTGGTGCAAATTTTTTAAGCACTCTTCAACATTAGAGGCATCTGCAAAGGCAACAGACATATTTCTGAATGATGCACAAAATTTCTTCTGTATTTCATCTGAAGGCTCTTCCTGCAACACATGAAGAGTCAATTAAAGGTCAACTAATTGAACATTGCCTGCCTGTTGATGATTTACAAACCTTCTTTGCTCGAAGTGATAAATATGCCTGCATCTCCAGTTGCAACCTAAAAGTAATATTTTTCAGCATGACCATGAATAACAGAATCTACTGCATCTACATATTGTATGCTACGGATATGACTGTATGTACCTTCTTTTCAGAGAAAAGATGATGTGCAAAGCCTTAATATGCTGTGGTTTGAAATAAGAGAAGAACTCAACCCAGTGGATTGCTCTTTCTTTTGGAGAAAGTGATGAAGGGAAGAGTTCTTCAGCAAGTATAAGCTCCATGTTCTGTGGCCTGCCATAAAAAAGAGGTCAGAATCAGGAGAGTTTGATTAATGGCATGATCCTATTACAAAGTTACAAAGCACAAACCTGAATATTTCACTATCTTTATCAAAACAAAGTGTTAAAAGTTGAGCTGGGATTTGTTCATAGTGAAAATTAACTGTGGCAATCCCTTTTGAGCATTTCTTACAGTAATCTCGGTATAGGTCTAGCAACTTAAGCATTACATGCTTTCTGACAGATACCTACAAAAAAGGTTTAAGTGAGGCACCGTAATAAAACCTGCAGTAGTGACAAAATGCAATAGTTTATGCTGACCTTTTTATCACGTAGCCTCCCTGCTGCTTGCAATATTACCTTAGCAGGAAATGAGTTTAGATTTGATTTGGCCATATCGCAGACTGCAGCAACAGCTCGGATCCTCACTTTGTCATCAAAATCCAATAGCCTGCCTGCAAGTGATGCTGCCAAATACAATATTTTCATCAACGTGAAGAGGACTCTAATATAGAAATACGAATGTAATAGCAACAGATATAAATAGCAGACTTACTAAGAATATCTTCTGCTTCATTTCCAGATGATATAGCCATGTAACAGACTTTTGCTGCATCAATTGCAGCAATTCTTACTTCTGCAGATTTGTCAGAGAATCTCTTCAAGAATTCCTTAAAAATTAATTGGTTTTCTTGAGCAAACCGGAGATTAGATAATACAAGAAGCCTCCCAATCAGGTGAACTGCCTCCAGCCGGATATCAACACGGTCGCTCTAAGCAAGCAGAAAATACACGATCAAGGCTAATACACATGTAAAAGGATATCAAAGGAGACACGAAATAACATACCAAGAGCTCATGAGTTAAGTGTGGAATAACAGCAAAAAGCATCTGGGGTGCACACTGGAACATTTCCAGGATAATCTTATGATGTTGTTTCCTGGTTTCATTAGCTGGCACATCCTTGTTGAAAATGCACGAAGACAAGAAAGTACGAAGAACGGGCTCTAATTTCTCAGCACAGTTTTGGATGATGTCAACGGCCAGCTTGTGGGATGCTCCCTGCACAGGCAACAAGAAGCAAATTAGCATCAGCTTGTCAATAACAAGTAAAATAGGTGTCCAAATATCCAAGTTACTGACATGAAGAAGTACAGAACTACAGATTTAGAAAGCAACACTCTGCGCCAGTAATAAATGGGCAGTGAAAAGCTCACCTTGTCCTCTTTTACTAAATTGCGTAAAATCACATCCAGGAGAGGTTGAGTAACTTTTTCATTTAATATCTGGGTCATTATAGATAGCATAGCCTGGCATACACTCTGCTGAAGACCTTGCCTGTAAACAGTTCCATAATAAACTAAATAAAGATGTTATCCTAGAGGTTTTGTAAAAAATATAGGTGTACAGAAACCATGACAGTAGATTCAATCATACTTTACTGCTGAGAAGAAAATCCTGACCATGTCAAGAACCAAGTCCTGACAGCCAACGTCGAGCATAATTACAGAACATCTGAGTGCAGCAACATTTTCCAATATCAAAATCCTTCTTGGAAGGTATGGACTGCTAGTTTCAGCAAGGTCTGCAAATACACTGATAAAGAGCCTAAATATTTCCTGAGAAAAAGGAGTTAACAGAGTGTCAAGAGAGAATGGTCCTTGCTCAAAATTTTCTCTGCCACTAAATTAAATTAAATAAATCTAACATGATTACTGTTTCAGAAATCCTATTCAAAAATGGTCATTAGGTAGTACCTATCAGGTTGTCACTAAAGGAAATAATTGAAGAAGTCAGCAATAACCAATCATCAGTATTGAAGGTGGACTAGGTTAAATACCTTAAATATTTCATCACTAAAAGGTGGATCAGGTGCAAGGACACGCATAACTTCAATAAAGCAAACTGCAACAAGAAGTTTGACATCCTTGTCCCTATGGGTAAGTAATGTGGTCTGGACCAGAGATTTACTCAGAGGATGTAGAGCCTCCTGCAGAGAGGAGGACTGACTCAACTCTGATAAAGCACTTTCAGCTTGCTGCAGAAAAAAATATCAGAAGCAGTTATGGAAGTACAGAATAAACCTATTCAGAGAAAAGATAATGTAAAGAAGCAATCAGTTAACAGCAAATTGAAGCTGAGAACATCGACTCGTGTATTATTTGAAGCTATAATTGTTACAATGATGCCAGTTAAGTATTTGAATGTTCATCAGTAGCTCCAAAGTGCATTTGGCTGCACTACAAAGTTCAATTTTGGACTGTTGAGACGGTATCACAACGATTTGTCTAATAAGAGCAAGTGAATAGTTAAACAGAGTTTCAACTTTCAACAAAGTGTTTGAACATAGTCAGTGCCCTTGACCATCAATAAAATACAAAGACAAGTGACTAGAATTGGATTTGCCATAAGGCAAATAAAAATTAATTTAATCCCAGTAGATCTGCCAGAGAAACTATCATGTAAAATGGAAAAGGAAAAATAGATTGAACTGCTCAAGTGTGAATCACAATTTAAGGCAATGAATAGGTGTAAGTCTTGGTTATCATTCATTCCTTACCCACTAAGTTTACAATGGAGAGCAACTTTCTTCAACTCAGCAATTCAAAAGGCAGGAAAACTTGGGACAAACATGTAGTGGCACAACTGTTTAACCCAATCAAATATAAGAATTAACTGAAGTCTCTATGGCTACTTCGAATTCGCATGAACACAAAATTAAGCCATCGACTCCTCTACTGGATGCCAATCAGAAATATCCGCATACCAAAACTAATTTCGACAAATCAATTTTCTACAAACTACCGAGATGACCCTAAAACCCCTAAGTCAGAGACTTACTCGGAAGCTCTATTCATTCAAATTTTCAAACACAGGCATAGTGGATACACAACTTCCTCAGCACTACTACATTGTTACTGCAGTGTCGCGTGGACATGTGAGCGGATCAGCAGAATATCATTAGAAAATGCAGCATGGTACTCGAATTCGCCAAAGCGTCAACAAAAAAACTCATAACATTGGTAGTGGTAGCCACATATATAGAGGCTGAAGTGCCCCCCTGATCTCCAACTGAGAAATTACCAATACATGTAGCAAATACCGCTCTAGTTGGCAACACAGAACGCCCCTAACCAGTTCGAAAGCTCGAAAATCGAAACAACGTTCCACCGGAAATGGAAGCGCGGTTGATTTAGACCGATTTAAGCAAGACGAAACCAAGGATGCGACGCTGCTCGCCTTTAGAAGCTTGACGAGGGCGTCCTTGCCGAGGCGTGGCTGCGCGAGGCGCTTGCCGACCTCGCGCACGGCTTGCTCCGGCGAGGCGGGCATTGCGGCGGCACGGATCTCGGAACCCGAAACCCTAGGGAGGCTAGGCGGCGGAGGCGAAAGCGAGGGCGGAGGCGGAGGCGGAGGCCATGGAACGGAGTTGGGTAGCAGTGACGGTGGGTTTTGCCGAGGGTAAATTGGTCCTCTCGATCAACGTACTCAAGTATAAAGTTGTGCACGTTATTTTTCTTCGTTCTAAATACGGAAATTTATACGTGCACAGATGTATAAATACATCCTAGCCCATGTCTAAGATGTCTTTGCTCTACAGGAACAATGTGGATATAAAAGTAGTAGTGAATAAACACCTACACAAAATGTGCTTATAAGGTACTCTCTCCGTTTCACAATGTAAGACTTTCTAGCATTGAACGAATATGGACAATGCTAGAAAGTCTTACATTATGAAACATAGGAAGTAATAGTAAAAAGCGCCTATGCATTTTAATTGTAGGATAGAATTTAAACCCAAAAGAATCATTATCCTCTAGGTGATAGCATATACAGATTCATTATATTAGGATATGTCACATTTAGTATTGGTTTTTTTATGGGGGAGTAAAGATTAGAATGCATGTACCAGAAGTGCAATCGTATAAACGTATATTTTTTTAAGAGGAAAAGAGTTATATCTGCAGCCTACCATAGTGTTCTTTACAAATTACATTACTCCGCAATGCAATCTAGCTTATCCAAATTATCGGTTAATAATAATACAGTATACAAATTATACACGCAAAGTGGTCCCCCATCAAAATTGGTTTCCCGCCCAACGGGGCGCTCGAGCGGGAGAATGCCAAAAATAAACTGGGCCATATTGGGCCCATATTAGTCCAGTGGTAGCCCAATGCGTGCCACGACAATCTCGTGGAAGGCCCAAAGTAGTAAAGTCTCAACGGATCGAAGCTCGCGGCCGCCCACGTCCGACAAGAATCGCCGCAGCGCCGCGCGCGACGAGCCGGCGCCGGCGCCGCCGTCCTTCCTCCAGGCCACGGCGGCGGCCTCGCCGTGAGCCGCCACCGACGACCTGAGCCGCTCCCCTTCCTCGGACTCCATCACCAGCCTGATCTTCCCCTCGATCTCCTCCGCCATGACCAGCTCCCCGCGCTGCCAATGCCATCCGGCCACCTCGACGCCGACCCCCATCTCCTCCACCATGAACACCTTGTTCATCCTCTGCTCGGCGTAGAGCGGCCAGCAGAGCATCGGCACGCGCGCCGTGATCCCCTCCGACGCCGAGTTCCACCCGCAGTGCGTCACGAACGCGCCCGTGGACCTGTGGCGGAGCACGTCCGCCTGCGGCGCCCACCGCTCGACGACGAGGCCGTGGCCGCTGGTCCTGGTCCGCTCCAAGAACCCGTCCGGCAGGAGCGCGTCCAGGTCGTCGCCGCCGCCGCGAGGGGCTCGTACCACCCACATGAACCGGTGGCCGGAGTTCTCCAGCCCGGCGGCGATCTCCCTCATCTGCTCCGCCGAGTGGGTGACCGCCCCGGTGCCGCCGAAGCAGAGGAACACCACGCTGCGATCTGGCTGCTCGTCGAGCCACGCCAAGCACTCGTGCCTAGTGTTTTCTTTTCTCTCGTCGTCGTCGTCGTGTCCCACGACCAATGGCCCGACGCAGTACACCGGAGGCACCCTCCTCCTGGGCTCGCCGCCGCCGGTGGCGGGGAGAAACAGCGGGTCACCGAGAGCACCAACCGCCCGAGGCTCGAGCGAAGCGAACGTGTTCACCAGTATGCCGTCGGCGTCCAGCGTCGCGCGGAGCATGCTCACCGTCGCCCTGTACGTCTCGCTCTCCGGGTCCTCGAGCAACTCGGGCATGAGGTGCGACGCCGGCATGGGCGGGACGCCGGGGACGATGAGAGGGGCGTCCCCGAGCTCCTCGAAGCTCGCCGCGCGCGCGCGGAACCACGGGAGGTGGAGGAACACGGCGAGCGCGGAGGCAGTCGACGCGAAGAAGCTGTACGCCGGGATCCCGAGCTCCCTGGCGACGTCGAGCGCCTCGATCGACGGCGCGTCCACGACCACCGCGGCGATGCCGCCGCTTCGGCCTCGCACGCCGGAGCGGAGGAACTCACGGAGGCGCTCGTTGTAGCGTCGCACCATCTCCAGGTACCCGACGATCGTCGTAATGGCGGGAGGGTCATGGATGCGAGGGAGCTTGTGGAAGGTGACCGACGGCTTGGCGGCGGCGGCGACGCGGGCGACGGCGGCGGCGAAGGTGGCGTCTTCGTCCATGGTGACGTGGATGAGCGCGACGGCGACGGCGTAGCCGTGCTCCAGGAGGGCGTCGGCGAGCTGCATCATGGGGACGAAGTGGCTGACGTAGAGGCCCGGGTACAGAACGATGGTCTTGTCCATGGCAGCATGCCTTGCCTTCGATAGTTCGATCTCTAGTTAGCGGCAGGCGCAGTGCAGGACAGTGAACTGATTGCCCAAGTTCTTGCTTGCTGAGGACTGGATGGGAGAAGAATGTAGTACTAGTACTTCGGAGGAAAAGAGCCAAAGAAACGCTCGTCATGGCTGACGAAACAGTTGAAGGAATCAGGTGATTGATCGTGTTCGTGTATGATACACGGTGTATCTGGAATTCTGGATCCGGCTCCGACTCCGGCTCCTGTATCTGTATATGTCAAAAACTGGTGTAAACGAGATCCCTCGACGGTTTGAAAGACAGTTTTGGCTGACGTGATGCTTACGTTTTTTTATTATTTTTCCGGGATCAAATTGTCGCATATGCGCCATGTCAATGTTACGTGGGACGAAGTCCTAATCAAACCAGCCACGCAAACGTCACATCAGTCAAAATCGCCTTTCAAACCGTCGAGGGACTTCGTTTGCACAGATTTTGACAGTTCAGGGACCGGTTGCATCTGATTTTTGGTTTCTAAGAACGAAAATCGGATTTGGTGTAAAGTTAAGGGATCTGAAATGAACTTATTCATTTCTAATAGGGCACATCGCCTTCATTTCAAATGGGCCTCCATGTGCCAGGCCCATATTTCGATTCGAGTGTGGCCTCCATGGACCAATTGAGAAATAAGTTCACTTTAGGTCACTCGTATTGTTGGAGAGTCTAATATTCATTCCAGGACCAATTAAAGTGGCCCATATTGCGGACGCTGAAGCCCAAAGGAGTTGCTCCTATGGTGCGGTTGGAATGGTGGATGGCTGAAGATGCCTCGGAGGTAGAGTAGTATTCTCTCATTCCCAAAATAAACTGGAGTAAGAGCATCTCCAATAGATGACTAAAATTAAACTCCCAAAAATCATGTATTGGGGACAGCCAAAAACATATTTAGCCTAAAATACACCCCCTTCTCCAAGAGAGGACTAAAATTTGGGAGCGCTTCTAGTTGCCCAATATTTGGTTCAGGTTGGTCCTGGTTTTGGAGGTGGCTAAATTTTGGGACCATGCTTAGGAGTCTGTTGGAGGGCTGATTTTCACCAAATTCCTAAAATTTATGTTTTAGTAACCTGTTTAGCATTCTCTTGGAGATGCCCTAACTACCATCTTTAAGGGAGTATCTAAAACAGTGATAAGTTTTTTTTTAAAAAAAATTTAGATATAACTATAGTATAATTGATACGTAATTACATTGTAACTATATTGTAACATAACTATGATATTGGCATAGTTTGGTGGTTTAGTGGTACGTGAGCATTCGACAGATCGTGGGTTCTCAATCCTTGACCACTGCATGCATTGGTTAATTGTTACTCCCTCCGTCCATAAAAAAAACAACCTAGTACTGACACATCCTAATACTATGAATCTAGACATACATCTGTCCGGATTCGTTGTACTAGAATGTGTCACATCTAGTTCTAGAATTGTTTTTTAATGGGACGGAGGGAGTATATCTCCAATTGACGCACACATCTCAAAGCTCATCTAACTGTGAAAAAATCTAGCTGTTCCAATCTTAAATTTTGTCCTAGAGTAAATCAATATCTACCTTCTCATCTATTCTTAAACCGTAAATTGATAAATTTTATTCTTTCAATACTCTTTTCCTATCCACTCATCAATAGTAATAAATTTGTATTAACGTGACATTTTCTCTCTCTACTATTTGTGTACTGAAATTTTAGGGGTTGAGTTTTTTTAGGAAAGACGGAGTACTCCCTCCGTCCCAAAAAAAAGACAAATCCTGCTTTCCGTGCTCAACGTTTGACCGTCCGTCTTATTTGAAAAAATTATGAAAAAAATTAAAAAGACAAGTCACACATAAAATATTAATCATGTTTTATCATCTAACAACAATGAAAATACGAATTATAAAAATTTTCATATAAGACGGACAGTCAAAGTTAAAAAAAAACCCTAGGATTTGTCTTTTTTTTTTTTTTGACAGAGGGAGTAGGTGGTGGGTAGTCCATCGCCCTCAGCTCGTACAATCGTACGCCGGCGGCGTTGTGACGTCCAAAACTGAAACGTCGTGTGGCTGCGATCGGACTGGGAAATGCTTGGTCTTGAACTCTTGAAAGCAAATATGTCAAGCCTGATTATACGTACACAAACACAAGTGCGTGCATCGCTGTGGCTCTGTAGAAATGCAGGCTTTTCCCTTCGTTTATCAGAAGATTCAGAACCATGGTGTCAAGTTTTGAAGATCTGTACACTGAAATTGGCAACCGCCAAAAGATCAAGAAGAGCAAACACAACATACAAGTGTTGGACAATGGACAGTATTGATGAAGGCTAGCTCTTACGGCAGCAGCATCCGGAAAACGAAGCGCCGGGAAGTGGCTCAACGTGCAGGCTGTGACTTGATTCAATTCATCATTGATGTGTCAAATTTAGAACCGTTTTCAGGGGGAAAAAAGGTACATTTGCTTAGCGAAACTTACTACTGTCTAAAGAATCAAAGGGGGAAAAAAAGAAAAAAGAAAAAACATACAAGTACTGCACAAACTTGGGGCCTGTTACGGCTGCACTACTGCGGCTGCGGCCGCCTCGCACATTATTTTGTACAGCGTTGCAGCCGCTGCAACGTGCAGCCGTACACAGCCTTGAAAGAGAGCTCTCGGCATGATATTTCAATATAAGCTAATGTTAAAGTTTTCATCTATGCAGTTACGAACTACAGACACAAGAACACAACGACAATTGGCACAACGGCAATACTACAAGCCACAAAAAGCAAATGATCGACTTGCTACAAGGTTATTCAAGTATCCTGATATCAGGCTACTGTGAATTCAGAGTCTCACCCTGCTCCCGTGCCACAGAAGTTGAAAGGATGGAAAGGCTGTTATTTAAGAATGTAAGTGCAGATTCACAGTCGGAGATAATTTTGGTGACAGATGAAGGCTCATTAGATGCTGAAAGCGATCCTGCAGCCATTGCTGCATACGAATCCCGTAGGCTCCTCAAATTACTAAGGAACTGCACATCACAAATAGGCACTCAAGTCAAGCAATGTTTATATGCTCAGTTTACCAGACAGAAGACAGTAGACACAAGCAAGAAGACCGCACAGAGCTAATCAGTTAAAAAGAATATGAAGTAAAAGAACTCTAGAATTTTTCATTAGTTTAAATGAGAGATGGGTCTATCAATGAACTATCAGATATTATACCATACCATATTAGCATCTTGGTTATTCTGAAATAATCTGATAGCAATACAAGACATACATTGACCACCGGCTAATCAGCTCCTTTTATATTTGTTTTCACCAATTCAAATAACCAGATCATGACACATTGACCATAGAGGGAAGCAAAACTTGAAATGAGCAACAAAATGTCAAATAAACCAAATATTCCGCTAGTACCTTCAAAAGTGTGTTATATGCCTCCAACAAGCGATTAGCAGCTGGACCAAAACCATGCAATTGAGGGACCTCCATCATATGTGTCCAAGGATGAATTTCCTACAATGAAAAGCAATTCTATCATCTAACAAGTAAAACTCAAAACACATAAAGATGGCAACCGTTAGCAGAAAAAGATATCATGTCAAAAATATTTATCTGAACGTACAGCAGAAGTATGGGAAATTGGGAAGAAAAAAGAAACCATTGCATAAGATATTCACCTTAGTGTAGATCATATTGAAGGATTTTACTGTTTCTAGGAACGATTGCAAATGTTCCCTCAGTTTTAACTCTGTCTCGGCATAGTCTTCATTCGGATTATAGTCATACTGAGCAACAGCAATTGTACCATCAGTGTAAATAGCATAGAACATGCTACAGACTATCAAGGTTTATGTGGCTGTTAAGCGCATACCTTAGATGCTAACTCCTGAACCATCAGTTGCAAATTTGACATCTTTTTAGTATACTCGGAGAGCTTCAACTCCAGTTCTGTTATATCAGGCCTGCAAAATGAGAATGACTCAAGATTTGAAGCATACACAGCTGATTTTCAACATCTTACTTTTCCTCTTTTTCTTCAACTGGGAGTACTTACAACCAACAAAATTATCAGATAAGAAGTACTTACAAGGGGTAAATTGATTGTATCTGAACATCTGCAGGAAATAGTTTGCACTCTTCAGAAAATATTTGGGCTTGTTTCTCTGCAATTGAATCTACGAGCAGCACATCTTTTGCCAGCTGCTCATCAACACTACCAAAAAGCAATTTGTTAGGAATTATGTCTCCAATGCACTCATGTTGATCCTAATGGATTATTTGATGTATATGAAAGTTCAGTTTTCTTCAGATATACTTTTATTTTCTTACATGTTTTCTTCAGATATACTTTTATTTTCTTACATTGCTAGAAGCCTAGAACAAAAGTTTCATGAAAAAATAGTACTGAATTATCACAAACTGACAATGTTTATGACTATGTCCTGTATGAATAACATGAAGGGTATTATTTCGTTGCAAATAGAAATAGTCAAGCTTAAAGCCAACCTCCACTCTGGATTGTCAGCATAGCAGCTAGCTTCAACTAGATCAACAATGAGACAGAGAAGCTCTACACGCTCATCGTAGCTACCTCTACCCTGCAATTCGAACAGTTATGAGCACACCAAAGACAATTTAACCCCAAATATATTACTGCCATTCTCACAATTCATAGATCCTGTATAACAGCAGCTAAAATTCAACAACTGTTACCGTATGACACAAACAAGCACACCCATTTCTCTCACCTGAATTGCCTCCGTGTCAACCGAAGGCGTTATACCAAGGAAATTCGCAATCTCGGCCAGGTCTGCACAGTCCCCAGCATTTCAATGTCAGCACCGCACTTTGATCCCAAGAACAACAGCAGTAGTGAAATGTTTGAAACTAAAAAACCTTACGTTGGATCCTGCTGTTCTCCTCGTCGCGGTCGAGGCTATCCCCCTGCCAGTTCTGCTGCGTGAACGGCGATCTGTCGCCTAGGAGCCTCCGCAACAAAGAGAAAACGAAACCCTCAATTTCGAGTTGGGACTGTGAGGGGGAAAAAGAACGCGGACCAAATCTACCCGCAACTGTGCAGCAAGCCTTGCAGATTGAGATGCGGAAATAGGGAATGTGGCGTGGGTGGCCGCGTACCGGAAGAAGAGCCACTCGAGGAGGCGGTAGCGCTCGACGCCGGCGAAGAGGAGGGACTGGGCGGGGGCGTTGGCCCGCGGGTAGGCCAGCACCGCCAGCTTCCGCTGGATCTCCTCCATCTGCTTCGACGCCATGGCGAGAGCCCTCCCACTCTTCCTCGCTTCCCCACCTCGCCGCGCCGCGCCGGCCGAGGCTGCCGCTGCTGGTGGTGGTGGTGGGGATCGAGCCGCTCGCTTCGACGGAGACAACCCAACGAGCGAGATGGTGTCAAGATTTGCAAATTCTCAAAATCGAATTTGTTTTTATATTTCCCTTACTGTCGTTTCAAATTCTGAAGGTGTCTGGAACTTACCTGTAGCATTTGTAAATTTACCACTGTTTTTTAAAATTTATGAGCTGTTCAGATGGTATGCACTTTCAACCCTTCTAAAATTTGTCATTGTCAAATTTTAACACATTTTGGCACTATCAAATCAAATTTTGGTAGTGTTGGTTGTGTTTAGTTTGTTAACTTATCAAAATTTGTAAAACAATTTTTTAGGAGTAGAAACTTATCGAATTACCAAAATTTGGTAGGGTAGCATTGATAAGTATTTCTTCCGTTTCATATTATAAGTCGTTTGATTTTTTTTATTCAAACTTGGTTAAGTTTGGCTAAGTCTAAAAAAAAAGTTTTAGTAACATTTAAAATATCAAATTAATTTCATTAAATCTAACATTAAATATATTTTGATAAATATGTTTGTTTTAGGTTGAAAATACTGATATATTTTTCTATAAACTTAGTAAAACTTAAAAGAAGTTTAATTAAAAAAGAGTCAAACGACTTATAATATGAAACGAAGAGAGTATGTGTTTGGTTTATAGTCTAACCAAAACTTGACTCTTTTGGTGTAGTTAAAAGTGGCAACATAATAAACAAACCCTATAACGATGTCACTCGAATGATAATTCTAGGGATATTTTTATAATTTTCTAGTAACAATCTCTCAACAAGGATTTAAACCATTAGCAAATGTACAAATGCCTTAATTTATATACTTTGGGCTGGGGCCCACATGTCAGTGATAAGGCCAGCAATAATAAAAGATGCCGGCATCAACCGCGTGGGCCGCGCGTCTCGCCGAGGGAGGGGAAGAGGGAACGGAGTCTATCGTGCGGTGCGGTTCTCCGCTCGCCACGACGACGACGAGCCCCATGCCTCCTCCGCCCCATCGCGGCGGCGGCGGCGGCCGCGACACGAGCGCGTTCTTCGCGGCGACGCTGGTGCTGTGGGCGGTGTCGGTGGGGTTCGAGATCGGCGCGCGCGGGCGGCGGGAGCTGGCGCCCGTGGCCGCAGGGTTTGCCTTCTTCCAGGCCGCCAGCGCCGCCGTGCGCGCCGCCGTCTCCCGCGACCCGCTCTTCGTCAACACCGCCGTTTCGCTCCTGCACTCCTCGCTCACGTCGGCCTCCGGTCTGGCCTCTCCCTCACCCCCCAAACCCCCCACTTTTGGTTCCGTGGCTTTCCCTATTCCCGTGCTTAGGATCCATCGGATACACGAAATCGTACGCTCTGTTCCAACATTACGCTAGTTTGAGGACATAGACGCGCGTGGAGGATTAAACAGTAGGTAAACTAGATGATGTTGATGCTTGATGCTTTGGTTCAGTACTAGGGAACGGGAAGCAGCATGGAATATGTAATCCTACTGTATAGTGCTAGTTTTAGTGCTGCTTCTGTGGGCCAAAGTGGTAATGCAAAATCTACTAATTTGTCTTCATTTAAGCTCTTTTTGGTTGGAACTGTCCAAGATAGCTTACATCCCACATTACTTAGTATATGTTGATTCCAAGAGGTGGTGTGCTTCCAAGTAGCTGGCAGCCAACAGGCTTGGAAACATTTCCATTTCTTCACCAAAAAAACATCTTCTGTTTAACATAGGACTGTCTTTTCCCCCGTTTTGTATTGGAATATACTCAAACCTCTGCAACAATCTAATGTTACTCGAATGTGAAATTGAGTATAAGGAATGATATAAATTGTGGTCATCGTACCCTTTTGTATCAGCATATAGTCGCTTACGTTACCTCTGCAACAGCCTATGACTATGTTACTCTAATGTGAACTCGAGTATGTGGAATGATATAAATTGTGCTCAGCAAAGAAGGGGACTGGCTTGTCGTGGCCATGACTTGTGCGTACTAATTTATATGACAATAGCCGTCCTACTATTTTTTCATGACACTTCTTGGGCACATAATTATGACTAGCAAGGGTGTTGTACAAAACTGCTAGCCTCTAAACAAAAAAACTATACGTGTTAAAAAATACCATCTTATCTTGGTGAATACGTGGACTTAGTTTCATCCATTAACTCCACCAAATGTTATTTCTAATTCTTATGCCTGTAAATCAGCTTTATCCCGTATGTCTTCCATTCCTGACTGGATGCTGTTGTATTTGCAGTTATCTTTGTTCTTGTCAACCGATGGCATAATAAGGACCTCAAGAACATGTTTGAGCATGAAGAATTGTTTGGTGGCAGTTGGGTTGGAGCATATTCTGCTCTGTGCTTTTCTTGTGGCTATTTTGCTTATGATCAATTAGATATGCTTCGTTACCGACTGTACAGTGGACGGATTCCTGGAATTCTCATGCACCACCTGATTCTGCTCATTTGCTTTACACTAGCTCTGTATCGGAATGTGACGATCAACTACCTAATTCTAACTCTTGTATGCGAGGTACGCCTAGCTCTTCTCATTCTTGGGCACTCTAGTTGTGTAGACAAAGTTCATCTTTTTGGCAATTCAGACAAATTTTGAATTTTTGACCCCACCTTTTAACCAGGATAAACTAATTTGCTCACTTATCACTCAAAGGGATAGATTTGTGTTTCAGTATAAGGAGTCTCTATTGCACAAATTTTAGCCTTCATTACAACCAGGCAACCAGCTATCCATCTTGGTGGCAGCTTGTCTCAAGTGTGACATATTCAGTAGTTGTTTGTAAAAATCATTTTGTATCTCTGCCCTTTGCACAAAAGGTGCAAGCTCATGTAATACATATTTGATATAACCTTCATGTCTAACTAATTGTTACTGAGATTGAATTGATGGCGTGTAGGGTTGTATATGATATTAGAGGCTTAGAGCTGTTTTTGCAAAGAATACTTTGTTGGTAAATAACTGTACAGACTGTCTTTTACTCTATTAAGTTGCTAGAGAATATAAGGAAACTGTTCATGTCTTAAGAACATGGGAATAAGCCTCTATCAGAGTAAGTACTTCAGTTCATCTCTACTGCTGCAAGTATTGTTAATAATTATTTGTTTAGGGTGGTGGCGTTGTCTTTAGTTGTAATGACTTACCTGGAGTTAGTACACAGCACATACTGACCAAGTTTATGATTACAGCTGCACTCCGTATTTTTGCACATAAGGAAATTGAGGCGAATGGCTGGATTTCGGGATTACAACAGAAAAATTGTGAAACTGGAATGGGTCCTCAACTGGACTACATTTGTATCAGCAAGGGTGGCATGCCACATACTGATTACATACAAACTGATCATTGATGCCCACAAGTTTGATAGTGGAATTGAGCTTCCACTAGCTCTTTTTGGCATGGCAGGAATGAATCTGCTCAACATATTTTTAGGACTTGATCTATTAAAAGCTTACACGCTCGAGAGAAATCAGCAGACACATCAGGACTGAGTGTGCCTCTACTGATGTGGTACTCCAAAAGTTTTGGCAAGTTGTAGTCAAACAACAATTAATATAGATCAGCAGACAGAGGTATGTCAATGTGTTATTGGCCTCTACGTTCGGTAGAAACTAGTAATGATGTACTATATTATGTGTTCTGAACTCATTATAAGATCTCTACCAGCAAATGATTCTTTGCTATTGTGCTACTATTTGTATATTGCGTTTCATTTATCATCATATGCAGACAACCTGGATACAACATCGTTGCTCATATTACAGGTAGAAAACGAACAAAATTAAATGGCATTGTGTGCCATCCCGTTTTGTTTTAAAGCTTCGCCTAAATCCTAATGTATTTTAGTGTCTCGCTGTGATTGAATTGTTTCCACTAACTGTTGCATCATTTGCACTCTTGTAGTACTTCATGTACACTCTTCTCTTTAAAACGAGACTGAAATATACACTGATGTATCATATCCTTTTCTCCTGAATCTTGTTGACTCAAAGTAGCTCATTCTATCACGAGTACTTATCTTCAGCAAGAACATCTTTTCATTTTTCTTGTTCCTGGATGTAATTTGGAGCTAAATTGTTTTGAGTACTACTAATATTTACCAGGAACCATTTTTGTTACTCCTGAATCTGGTGGCTTGGGGGTAAATTGCATACATTAGCAATAAAAAAAAGTAGGTCCCACCGGGATTCGAACCCAGGTCGCCAGATTCAAAGTCTGGAGTGCTAACCACTACACCATGGAACCGGTTGTTGCATGTGGTCCGTCGATGGTGATACTTCTGTCTTTTACTGAAGATCAGTAACAAAGGGAAGTATACTAGTTGAAACCCACATGTTCATTTGTGGGCATCCATCTGCTAGGCACTTCAATTAAACAAAAACACGGGAATATCCAACGAATCCTCTTCTCCACATTCCCGTACTTTTTTGTGCTGAATCGAATTTCCTGACGCCATATAAAAAAACGAATTTCCTGACATATCTCAGGAAAAAAAAAAGGTAATACTCGAGAGTCGATAACATCCTCCTAGACTCCTACGGCGTGGCACACAGTTCACTAAAATCCAGGCAACACAAGTACACAACACGCAGAGTCACACATATGCTTGGAGTTGGAGCACTTTTCCAGGAGTCCGGCTCAGGTGCAGGGAACCCTGCACATAGTAATATACAGGCCAAATCAAATCGCGACACCTGTACACAAGGTAGGTCCACCCAATCAACCAAGTAACAATGTAAACGGAGGTTTAACCACGATCCCACAAAATCAGGTAACAGAACCATTCACCCGCGAAATACTTTGACGTCGCGCGCGACGCCGCACAGAGTTTCTTTCCTCTTTCTCTGTTCTTCTGTACTGCTAGATCTCTAAAATTAGATTGGTGATTCTTGATAGAGATCAGTGTCCTCGTGAAGCAAGACGCATGGCGGAAGCCCCAGTCCACCCTTCATCTTCAAAGAGTATGTTAATTGTCCATAAACTTGGCAAGACCCGATTAGTTTGTCTCAATCTCTGCCATAAGTTATCTGCTAATTGTTATTAAATTAGATTGGTTTCACCTATATATGGTGAATAGGATTTTATATTGTTCCTTGCATGTTAAACTAGCATATACACAATAATGATCACGTTATACTTATTCTTATATTTAGATCATGAAAAAGAAGACGTGGGAGACACGAATATAAGCAGTACTGATGATGCTTGTGTGCAAAAGTTAGAGCCAGTAATTGGCATGGAATTTGATGATGAAGATATAGCATATGAGTTCTACAATCGGTATGCTGGAGATGTTGGCTTTAGCATTAGAAAGTTTTGGCATGATAAATCTTCAACAAATGTGATTCGCACAAAAAAATTTGTGTGCTCAAGGGAGGGGTTCAATAAGAGGAATACTTCAGATGCATGCCAACGGAAGCGAGCTGATACAAGAGTTGGTTGTATGGCAGAGATGACCATTAAGATCACTCCTACTGGAAAATATGCTATAGCTAGCTTTTCTAACACGCATAACCATGAACTCATAACTCCTAGCAAGGCCCATTTGTTACGTTCTCAGAGAAGAATGACAGAAGCTCAAAAAGCTCAAATTGACATCTTGAATGATTCAGGTGTTAGACCCAAAGAAGGCCATGAGGTGATGAGTAGGCAAGCAGGTGGGCGGCAAAGTCTTACATTTACCAGAAAAGATTATAAAAATTATCTCCGATCAAAGCGCATGAAATCTATCCAAGAAGGGGATACGGGTGCCATTCTTCAGTACCTACAGGACAAGCAAATGGAAAACCCTTCATTCTTCTATGCAATACAAGTAGATGAAGATGAGATGATGACTAATATATTTTGGGCAGATGCAAGATCAGTATTGGATTTTGATTATTTGGGTGATGTCATATGCTTTGACACAACATACAGGACAAATAATTATGGTAGGCCATTTGCTCTTTTTGTTGGTGTAAACCATCACAAGCAAACAGTTGTTTTTGGAGCAGCGTTACTGTATGATGAAACAACATCAACATTTGAATGGTTATTTGAAACTTTCAAAAGAGCCATGTCAGGCAAAGAACCAAGGACAATATTAACTGATCAATGTGCAGCCATCATTAATGCTATTGGGACTGTCTTTCCCAACTCAACTCATCGTCTCTGCGTTTGGCATATGTACCAAAATGCTGCGGTACATTTGAGTCACATTTTCCAAGGTTCAAAAACATTTAAGAATGATTTTGGCAAGTGTGTTTTTGATTTTGAAGAAGTTGATTAGTTCATATCAGCATGGAACAAGATGATAGAGGAGTACAATTTGAATGATAACCAATGGTTACATCATTTATTTGAGATCAAGGAGAAGTGGGCTTTAGTTTATGGTCGGCAAACATTCTGTGCAGATATGAAATCCACACAGAGAAGTGAGAGTCTCAATGCCCTGCTGAAATATATGCAACATATGGATTGGTTCTTGAAATTTTCTTTTATTTATATAGAGCAAACACTCAGGCACAAAATTGGGCTTTTTTTACATCTCGATCTGCAGTTCAATGTCATTAATATTTCCATTTGCAATCTAAACAATATATCTATGCTTATGGTGTGTATACATTATAGTACAAGAAAAAATTATTAAGCAGTTAGACATTAACCTGTGACAGGCTTGGTCGATCCAGAGCAAGCCCAACCTAATCCATCAGGACTGCATGACCTCTCCCTGCTCTAAGTCTCCATGGCGACCACGGCTCCTTCCGCCGGCCACTCTCCCACGGTGAGCGATGCGACCTCCTCAGGACGCCCCACGGCAAGTGCGCAAGCCTGTAGTGGCACCCGGCAAGCACCGCCGCCCCACCCCGGCGGCCTGCCTCGAGACCGTCGTCCTCTTCGATGGCCCATGGTGAGCACCACTTCCCAGCCAACGGCAGGTGTGCAGGCACATTTGCAGCAGCTGGCAATGGCGTGGTAAGCATTGACCTCGCTCCCGACAGCTTGCCTTGAGAGTATGGCGCCATGTGCAAGATCTTTTGGATGTGCTTTCACTGCTTTGTGATGCAGTTCAGGAGTGGTTGAGGAAAGAGAAGGCTGGAGAGGAAAGGGGATTTTTTTATGGGAGTGAGAAGGGGATTACCAACAGGAAAGAGAAATCCAGATAACAGAAGTTAACGTGATGCCTTGTGCCGTTTAGTCCTCGTTAAACCTCCGTTGCATGCGTAATTAAGTAGGGCCACCCTGGACAGGTGTCGCAATTTGATTTGGCCTGTATATTATTATGTGCAGGGTTCCCTGCACCTGAGCCGGACTCCTTTTCCAGTGACGCGTGCAGTTTACCAACCACCTGCTCTTCTCGGCCAGTTCGCTGCGGACCTCCAAAACCCAAGCGGAGATGATCGCGCACCGTGTCAGCGCGTCGCGGCCATAGAAGGGATTCGGGGAGACGTGGCCGCCCGCGCGCCCGTCGCGCACCCTATCCTCGCCGCGCGCCCGCCGGCCAATCGCCACCCCTGAATCCACAGCCACGCCACGCGGCCCATGCCTACGCCTCCCACCCGCCACAGGATCTCCCTCTCACGCGCGCGCGATCTCATAAAAACCTCGCCACCTCGATCGGTGAGGTAGCACGAGGCGGCCTGAGCTGAACACCGCATCAGCAGCAGCAAGCAGCTAATCGCGCACGTACGCACACCGCGACCCGGGGCGAGATGGCGCAGTCGATGCTGGTGTCGGGAGCCAATGGCACGGTGGCCGCCGCGAGCACCAGCAGGCTGCAGCCCGTGCGGCCGACGCCGTTCTCGCGGCTCGTGCTGTCGCAGCCGTCGTCGTCGCTGGGGCGCGCGGTGTCCGTCAAGACGGTGGCGCTGTTCGGCAGGTCCAAGACCAAGGCCGCGCCCGCAAGAAAGGTTGGAATTTGGATGGATGAATGCAAGCTAAACTAAGCTAAGCTAAGCTCGCGTTTGTTTTAGTCTTATGTTTGATGGTGCTAACTATTTTGTAACGTGTCAACGTGTGTATGTAGGCTGAGCCGAAGCCAAAGTTCAAGACCGAGGACGGCATCTTCGGCACGTCCGGTGGGATCGGTTTCACCAAGGAGAACGAGCTGTTCGTCGGGCGTGTCGCCATGCTCGGGTTTGCCGTAAGTAGACCTTTCTTGGCCTTCTAGTTATTTGGTATGCATCATTTCTTGCCATCTTGGTACGTACCTGTGCGTTCGGGTTTGGGTTAGCTAGCTAGCAAGAGCACAAGCTTAAACGTCAAAAGTTTTGTGGTTAACGGAAGCACTTTACCCGGGAGCGTCATCCTTTATTCTATAAAGGGTCACATGTTGCATAGGTAGATTTGCTTCCAACTACTTTTTTTTAAAAAAAAATTATAGTTTTTGTCATATATTTTACTTTGAATTTTCTGTGCACATAAAAATGCTATATTTCTCCTTAGCAAATATTGCTACTTTTATTTTATTTTTCAGTCCGAGTTTTGACAGCGACATTGTTTAATCTAGGCCAGTTAGCAACTCACATGTATACCACACACATAACTAATGAATTATCTGGATTTAGTAATATAGGTATTGTAGGTTTTAAAAAATTCGTCTTTCGAGCAGATATATTGTTTAATGAGTAAATTTTAGAGAACTATAAATTTAGTGACTAAATTATCAGCTTGTTGTAACGTTAGTGACATATTATATTTCAGTTTAGGAAGAAGAGGGGATTTCTGAAAAAAAAAGAATGAATCTCCTTCCTGCAGCAATAACAAAGAAAATCATTATAAATCTACAACTACGTGAACAACCTAACGTTAATCCTGCTGAAACGCCGCTCAGTCGGTGCACCTGAGTCAAAACCTCATTCCAAGGTAGGGCAAATGGCCATTTCATCTTCCCCTTTGCCCTTTTTAGCTTGATGGGTTTTAACCTCGGTGCACCAACCGAGTGCGAGTAGCATTCTAGTCGGAACAAACGGAACAATTAGTTTCAGGCCGATTTTAGTTACAAACTTTTTCTTCAAACTTTTAACTTTTCTATCACATCAAAACTTTCCTATACAAATAATCTTACAACTTTTCCGTCACATCGTTCCAATTTCAACTATAAACTTTTAAGTTTAGCGTGAACTAAACACACCCCTAGTGGAGTCGAACCAAAGTGATGCACTTAGTTGTCGGCCGATGTGGCATGCTGCTACGATGCACATCTTGACATTGACGTGTCATGAAGACATGTTCCTCCATCTTGCCACACTATATACTACCTCTATGACACGCGATGTCCATGTATCAATAATATTACTAGGATGTATATGATGTTACAGATTTGTGATATTTTTTTTCTTTTATTACTGTAACAAACTAAAACTGGTTGTAAATGTTGTAGCACTTAGATAGTTTAGTCACTAAATTTACAGTGCTTTAAAATTTACTCTCGTTTAATAATTTGTATAGTGTACATGCATGACTAGCACAATCGATCGTTGAGTCATACCAACCTGATGCAAAAGCGCTCAAACTGTGCAGGCGTCGATCCTGGGTGAGGCCATCACCGGGAAGGGAATCCTGGCGCAGCTGAACCTGGAGACGGGGATCCCGATCTACGAGGCGGAGCCCCTCCTCCTCTTCTTCATCCTCTTCACCCTCCTCGGCGCCATCGGCGCGCTCGGCGACCGCGGCAGCTTCGTCGACGACCAGCCGGTGACGGGCCTCGACAAGGCCGTCATCGCCCCGGGCAAGGGCTTCCGCTCCGCGCTGGGCCTCAGCGAGGGCGGCCCGCTGTTCGGCTTCACCAAGGCCAACGAGCTGTTCGTCGGCCGGCTCGCGCAGCTCGGCATCGCCTTCTCCATCATCGGCGAGATCATCACCGGCAAGGGCGCCCTCGCGCAGCTCAACATCGAGACCGGCGTCCCCATCAACGAGATCGAGCCGCTCGTCCTCTTCAACGTCGTCTTCTTCTTCATCGCCGCCATCAACCCCGGCACCGGCAAGTTCGTCAGCGACGACGACGAAGAGTAGAATTACGAGGATCGATCGATCTACCGAGGTTTCGCCGCCATTGTTGTGCTTGCGCATCATTGAGACTTTCTTTCAAGTGTATATGTACTGTGTACGTGTAGGTGTAAAGACGTACCTTGTTTAATTAGTTGTTAATTAATGCCCATGGAGAAAATTAACGTGAGATTTAGCTACTTGCTGCGGTAAATCTAATTGGAGATGCCTCTCCAATTAGTCTTAACCAGAGACATCCAATTAGTCTTAACCAGAGACACCCATACTTTAGGAGTTTTGGTTGCTATTAATCCATTGAGCATCTATGCTTGAAATAAAATTATCTCTTAAATTACTCATCCGATTTACAATACGATTACACCGTTGTGTTCGTAATAATTAAATCTTTATAACAAGATCTCACATGATTATATTTTGATGAAAAATCACAAATTACTTTTATGATATGTCTAAATTACTTTTAAATTTCAATAAGTTATTTCTTAGACATATAAAAGTAAATTCAGTAAAGCCTAAAAGTAATTTACATATAGAAGTAACTTATAAGAAAAGAAAGTAACTTTAATTTATGCCTTTTTTCATTGAACGGATTTTATATATATATATATATATATATATATATTATATAAAAGTTACTTTTAGATTTGATTAAAATACTTTTTATACATTCATGATGCTCTGAGGTGATTACTTTCTAGATAGAGTCATGTTTTTATCTCTACAATAGATTTACTTCAAATGACATGCTAAAGTTACATTCGTTTTGTTCTAAGTTACTTCTATAATATATGTAAATTACTTTTAGATTTTACTGAATTTACTTTTATATATCCAAGAAGTATCTTAGTGAAATCTAAAAGTAATTTAAACATATCATAAAAGTAATTTGTGATTTTTCATCAAAATATAATCATGTGAGATCTTGTTGTAAAGATTTAATTGTTACGAACACAACGGTGTAATCGGATCGTAGATCGAATGAGTAGTTTAAGAGAAAATTGTATTTGAAGTATAGGTGGATGGTGCCTCTTATAGATAGAGTTGTAGTTGGCTTAGATAAACCAGCTACCACTAGTAGTTGTGTTAGTTGTGTAGTTACGTCCTATTTGCTGAGACTGATTAAACCCGTATGCGTGTGGTCTGAGACCACCGGCGTTCCGGTCGCCGGTGAACCTCGCCGGCGTTTCGGCCGATGGCACACATGGGCCCATATGCAGGCCGCAGCCCATTTAAGCCCAAGTAAAGAGGCCTCTTTTCTTTCTCCATTTTTGGGCCCAATCTGTTATTGCATAAACTTAACTTAAGCCCATACGTATTCCAATCAGAAAATTATTAGAGAAGAGAAATACTGGAACTGACGCGTCTTGCGTTGTCTTGGCTTCACAAATCAACAAAGATCGGCAGCTGCATCAACATGCCTGACACGGCACGCATGTTATTTTTGTTGGTTGCGATTAGATGTTAATTGATTTTTCTGCGATTGAATGTAATTACTTGACCCCGTCCGTATAATCACACGCACATAGAATAGAATGGTTATGCGTATACGAAGATGAGAAAGGAAGATACGGTCCAAAGAAATTCACAAGCAATTGAAAACAAACGAATATTTTTCAAGGAGCAGATCTCTGTTGCTTCCTTTTCTTCTCTGTTGAAAAGGGAAGGGAATGTTCTCTCTTTATGTCAACGCTTATCTGACGACAAAGTGGATTGGATATCAACACTAGCTCACGGCAAGGTTAACATAACATTTAATATATGTTTCACTCTTAGCTGATTAGGTAGTGTTTGGCTAATGGGTTTGAGAAATGATTTCCAACCCACCAAAAGACATCTTTAAATCCTAACCATTTATTTTCCCTTTTTCATTTAATCCTAACCCTTCATTCATTTCTCAATCCCAATCCCACTCCCCATTTCCTATTATCCAAACACACCCTTAGTGCTTTGAATAATATTAACCCTATCTAAAAGTGACCCTGTAGCTAGCTTAGCTAAAAGGAGGCCCTGATGAATCATTCCATTGCGAGCTGAGCTGAGCTGAAAAGATGTGTACCCGCTTTGATATATGCCATCCTGCTCCATGACACAATCAGAAATTATATCCATGCATATTCTAATACTCCTCCCGATTTCTTTTAGTTCAGGTCCAAACTGCCAAAAGAGAAAGACAGATCAAACTAATTCTTCATTTAATCAAATAAGAGGAAAGGCTTGTGGTGCACACATACTGCATAGCCCAACTGTTGCTTCGCTGTGGGTTAGCCTTTGAGAGGTTTCATTTTGCTTCCTTTCCCTCAGGTTTGGCTAAGGACCTGCTTGCTTTGTAGTTAGGGGATCTGATTGTCTAAGTGTATACCTAATGCATCACGTATGAATTGTGAAATTTAATTAATCGGGTATGTGTACGTACGATCCATGTCTCCAGGGCCTACTGATAGGTGATTGATGAGGATGCACGGCTCCTGCTCGTAAAGTATACTGATATTGCGACCGGTTGATAAGTTGGATACTTGGATCCAATTGTCCGCAGTTCGCAGAATGCAAACTAGTACTATCAATTAATTTAAACAGTAGTACTTACTTTGTAGTAGTAAGTTGTAACACTAGGTTTATTTCTTTTCAGCTACAGGCTAAGCTTATTGTGGATGTGTCTTTTAAATTGTTAAACGGCGTAAAAAAATATATAAGGTTCTAAAAAAACTAAATCATTTTTAAAATTTGTAATAGTTAATAACCATAACCTAATTAAGGAACCATACTGTTTCGCATACTCAAGCAAAACGTTGTTACGAATTCAGCCAAGCTCAAAAAATATGATCTACTTAGGATATTTGTTGTGTTACATAATACTCCCTCCATTCTAAAATATAACAACCTACTATAGAATAGAGCACATGATATTCAGATTCATAGTATTAGTATATATCCCATCCCGTACTACGTAGCTATATTTTGAGACAAAGGAAGCTAGTCTACCTTAAGGAAAAACAATATTTTTTGAGAAAATTATTTATGCACCATTGGAATTTCATCCAATCTATTTGCATTCCTTTGAGTTTTACTAACTCCTTATATACCCATGAATTTTGGTTTAGATCAGTGGCGAATCTAGAAAATCGATTCGTTGGTGTCATAACGTGTCTATCGGTATCATAGTATACTAATTATACTTAGATCATAGTATAATAATATATGGATAAGTAGTTTTGTTATAGGTTTTGCCGAAAGTCGTCGGTGTCGCTTGACACCGGCCCTATTACTGTAGCTCCGCCCCTGGTTTAGATCACTTTCGCACACTTTCCATTAGTCGACCGTCTTTAGATATAGAAAAACAAATTTGTGGAGCATATTGTTGGAGTGTAGAGATTGTTGTATGAGATTTGTAAATTTATGAGTTTGTTATGCGAAATATTACTTACCATACAAAATTTAGATGTGGCAGAAAAAATAATTCTATTTGTTTTTAGTTATTAAAAAATATATATGTACTCCCTCTGTTTCACAATGTAAGTCATTTTAGCATTTTCCACATTCATATTGATGTTAATGAATCTATCAATAAATCTGTCTAGATTCATTAACATCAATATGAATGTAGGAAATGCTAGAATGACTTACATTGTGAAACTGAGAAAGTAGCATATTTTCTTACACTAGTTGTATATTTTATTTAAAATATTGTTCTACAATGCTAATGGTTTCTTTTCCATTTCTTTAAAAAAATGCTACACATACTTTTCTCGAATATTATATTAAATTTTATATGTTCCCCCTTATGGATATTATAGTCAAACAACAAATTGCCGGCATTAGTTTTCTCAAATTTACATAGTCCTTGACATCAAATTGATTTTTTTTCAATATCCACTAAACAATCAACTAACAAAAAGGATACAAAAGAGATAAAAACTAAAATCCAGGGATATATAAGGGAATAATTAAAATTCAGGGCACTGAAGGATTGGCAAGCGATAAATCCCTTTTAGAAAGAAAATCCTACTAATAAGGAAAAATGACAAATTAAACACGAATTAAAGAGCCACCGTAATGCATGCCAAAACAGACCGTGATCTTGCCCTGACACACAATTAACAACAATAAGGAACTGTAGCTGTTATGCCATCGCGATCGTCCTGCATATGAGTTGTTAGCTGTGTGGACCCTGCATCACATGGCCGCGACAATATGGTGCATCCACGAATAATGGCCGCCCCTAGCTAAGATACGATTCACTAATCATATACCCGAACGAGGTGGCCGAAGCATTCCAAAGCATAACAACACACAGGCCTGGACTAAAAATTAAGGTTTCTTTTGCAGGAACCAGATAAAAGTTTGGGTATATAATACTATTGTTACTACTATATTAATAAAGTGCGTGATTTGACAAGGGAAATTAAAATACAAAGGACCCAGAGGCCGGATAATCTTTTGTACTGTACGTCAAATTTAGGCGTGCGCTTGCCACTGGGCTTTACACGCCGGACAGAATATCCTAACCCTTAATCTAATCTAATAATATACTCCCTCCATCCCTAAATATTTGACGCTATTGACTTTTTAAAATATATTTGACCGTTCGTCTTATTCAAAAAGTTTAAGTAATTATTAATTTTTTTCCTATCATTTAATTCATTGTTAAATATACTTTTATGTATATATATACATACACATATATGTATATATATATACATATATGTGTATGTATATATATACATATTTTACAAAAGTTTTTGAATAAGACGAACAGTCAAACATGTTTTAAAAAGTCAACGGCGTCAAATATTTAGGAAAGGAGGGAGTACTTATCTCGATGACATTGACAAGTAGTGTATGAAATTAACTAGGACCAACTAATTCGGCACGTAAGGATAACTACAGTTTCAGCTACTACTTACCCGTCAGTAACGTACACGTAGATAACGCTCTATCTAGATCTTTAGAAATTGCAAAGATCTCTTAAAAATACGAAAATTTTACAGGTTCTGAACAACATGATTTCCCCTCTAAAGAAAATATGAATATATACACACAAGCACACTTACCCTACAAACATACCCAATATTTTATCACAATAAACTCTTTCAAGAGACTAGTCGGTAATATCGTAGTTGGCAAGTACATCATGTCTACTCTTAATTAATATAAATACGAATAATTGTGCTAAGTCAAGGAC